CTACCAGCGACGGATCGGCAACTTGTGCCAGGATCATTCTCGAAACGCCCTTTTCCCCCGAAGAGGGGCAAAGTGGAAAACAGGGCCAGCCCCTGGGCCGGGGGTCTCCAAGGGGTTAGGGAGCTGTTGGGAGGCAGCGGTCCCTATCTGCAGCCGCCCGCCGGCTGGAAAGGACGTCTCCCTGTGAACATCCCCCTTTTCTTTCGCACCAGAGTTTGCCGGTGCATGTGCTCTTGTCCCAGACTAACGGGGGGGTCAGCACACCTGAGAGCAGGGAGTCTGGTCGGGTATTTTCAGGCTCGCAGGCTCGGAGAGGAAGCGTGAGCGGCGAGGTCAGCCCCGCACCCTCTCCCTCTGCCTGCTAAGGCACGCTGCCCTCGCTAACCTACTGCGCTCAGCTATTTTGTGGCATAAGGAAATGCACATGGCAGCCACTGATGCGTGGAGGCCTCTTCATCCTGCGTTTGGTTCATCGCAGAAAACGGGAATGATCCCTGGAGATTCCGTGGGATTTTATATGCTCGCGTGTAGGAATAGCTCCGTGCAAAATGAAAGCCCCTTTCAAAGCTCCGTGGGTCTTATCCCTCTCAATTTCAAACAGCACCTTCCCTCCGGGTCACCTCCGGACACAACTCGAGGCTCTCTCTGGGTTGTCGCTAACCTTCCACCTGCCTCTGCCCGCTTTTCCCTGCCGGACCTTCAGAGATGTCCAAAATCTCCTCCGACACCCACACCGCGTTATCCCTTCACCTCGGCTCCGGCTCCAAGATGTTCTTTGCCCACCAAACTGTCTGCATCGCTTCCGGGGGAGGATTTCGCGGCTTTGAGCCGCATGGCAGGAGCTGGGGGCGGGGAAGACAGGGTAGCTGCGACAGTCGCTCCGGCCGCCGCACCACGTCTGCCCCTCAGACTTCTCCACACCACCTGGGAAAATAGGGCCACCCGACTACATACACGGCCGGGAAACTGTCCTTTGGGAAGGATCGGGGGACTTCTGCTAACAAAATACGTTACCAAGTGGGCATCCTTCTGCCTAACAGCACCACAGTAGCCCACTCCCCTCGAGGAAGGTGAGGAGGTTATCTCCCTTCCTTCCTTAAAAAAAAAAAAAATCAATAAAAATCTGCAGCTTCAAAGAGGGGCTGGGGCGGGGGATGTGCTGCATTGGGTTTGTCTGGTTTATTCCTACAAGTGGAGAGCGGAGGCATCTGGGGGGGCAGAGCGAGGCGCAGAAAGGCCTCATGAAGGCGGCTCTGAGAAGGAGCAGGACGCGCCGAGGTGAGCACGGCGGCGCAACGGAGCCCCGCCGGAGCGGTGGAATACCGCAGCGTCCGGACTCTGCTCTCAGCTGCGGGAGGTTGGGCACGGTCTGGAGGCCTGCCCGGTCCCGGAAAGCGCCGGAGAAGGCCTTCATGGGCGGGGGCAGCCGGGGACGGCCAGCCGCCGCCTCGCCGGTACCGGCCGCGCACCGAGGCTGCTGCAGCCGTACAGGCGATTTGCAGCGGGCAACTCAAGCCTAGTATGTTTTGTGGAAGAGAGGAGACGAGGGAAAAGTTCGAGGGAGGGAGAGGAAGGGGAGAGCCTCTGGCTCCCCTCTGCGACGCAGCAGATTCGGGAGAAGGCGGACGAGGGCAGCGACTCCCAAGAGACACCAGCTGCCGGTACCCGCGGCTGCGGCCGCTGTGCGTGACGGCACCGCTCAGCCATTCCTCGGCACGGAGGGAAAGGAATGGAAGGGGAAGCCCGGCTCCTGTCTGGCACTGGCTCGAGTCTCTTAGAGCTTCCCCCCGTTTTACTTTGTCAGGCCGGGGGATCCCGCGGTGAGGGCGCGGGTGCGTGCCGGGGCAGCCGCCGGCTGCTCAGGGCGAGCCCTCTGCCCGGGCACGCGTGCCCTTCCCAGGTTGGAAAAGCCTCGACCCCGCGCCCCCCGCCCTCCCCTCCCTGCTCCCTTTCCTCTCCGATTCTACAATGATTTCCTACCTGAAAAAAATAATCTTTTTGCCAGGCGGGTCAGAAGCGATCAACAGTCTGTTGTATATTATGTTTTCATATTCCTCTCGTCTCCCCCTGCCCTCTACCGACTCACTGTAGATCTGACCTTTGGTATTTCAGCCCACACTCAGCAGTTGAATGGAAACAAGTTGAGCACGTTCACTTCTGATAAACATTATCCTTAAACCACTGGAGACCCGAGCAGAGTAAACGAGCTTTTCCGACAGGACCACATCAGGAACACACATTGAGAAAGGGAAAGAAACAAAATATCCAGGAGATCAGAGGCGGGCTCGAGGGTGGAGGGGTGGGAGAGAGAAGGAGGGGGAACAGACAGGTTGGAGGACACGGCGGAGGGGGAAGAGAAAGAACCAACTGTGAACACAATAGACACAGATGGGAAGAGAAGCTGACCGGGCAGCGCAGGGTCACGCCTGAGCATCCCAGCAACCTTGAGGGAGCTCTAGAGGCGCCGAGCGGCTCCAGGAGCGGCGGCGTCGGGCCGTGTGCTGGGAGATGGTCCCCGGCCACACGCCACTGGACCGGACTATAGCAATGGGAGTCCCGCGTGTTCAGTGTGGCCGGGGCGGCGAGCAGCCCAGGCCCCGTCGGGCTGGGAAGACACACTGTAGGGCGAGCAGCCTTGTCGGGGATCCCGACAAGAAACTCCGCTTCCACAAAAAATAACCTGTTAAAGCGGATCTTAAGTTTTACGGATCCCCACCCCCTTTCATTGTTTAATTACATAAATAGCTTAATTAAGGCTATATCCAGGTCCCACTAGTTCAATGCCTTCTGCCTTAAAAATAGTCAGAGGAGGTCAGTTCACAACACAGAAAGGAGTTCTGGTTTCAGCAAACGCCTGCTAGTACTACTGCCTGCTCAAAATGCCAGCGCTTTCGCACAGCGGCAGTTGCACGGCTGTGAGGAGTGCTCCCCGTACCAGGGATAATTCTGTCTAGGTAGAGGAAGCGCCACAATTCACAGGTGCGATATTCTGAAAGGGCAACTCGTATTTTTGAAGTAACCACAAAACTGCCATAGAAAATTTCCTGTTGTGGTGGTTTGGCTTTGTTGTATTTTTTTTTTTTTTAGTTTGGTTTTGTTGACGGTTTTTTGGTTGTGTATTTTATGTTGTCGTTGTTTTTTTTTTTTTTTTTTTAAATCCCTATGGAGAAAACAAGTATCCGCCGATATTTCGATCAAATGGGAGTACCTGCAAAAGAGCCATGATTACCTTCTTTTCACCACGAAATGTTTACAATATGCCGCTATTTTCTGGGAGATCTCCTGCAACATCTTATTTCTTCACGGTTAGAAATGTTCATTGAGATATGTGCAGGCTCTGAAATCTCGCTCAATCTTTTTCCTAAAAATGTCTTACATTTAAATTAAAATAATATCGAGACAATGTTTATACACACCAGCGACATAAATTTTGTGGTTTACTTGGTGATAGTTCGTGCACTAGGATCACCGCCTTATTTTTGTTCACGTTTTATTTAATTTACAGAGTCTGTACCTTTGAGGAAAAAAAAGCGAAAACAACAACAAAAGCAATAAACGACAAAGAAGAACTTCGGGAGAATAATACAGGGAAAAAAAAAAAAAAAACCCGAACCCAAGACAAATCCTTAGCTGGAGCTGAGAGCCCATGATCTCTGTGTGCAACATGATGTAACGTAAGGCATAAGACGCACACACACAAAATCAGCTCAGGATCCGTGCGCCGCCAAACCAAACATTTCTTCCACATACGCGCCGTGACCCACATATCCTTTAATTCCTACCGGCTTTGTCTGTTTTTCTTTTGATTTCTAATACGTATCAGTGCCTTTTATAAAGCTGAAGTCAGCTGCGAGGCATTGACATTTTACGATTAAGCCCGGCGCAATATTAGTGTGGGGTTGAAAACAAAACCGGGGCCGGTCTGCGTAGGGCAGCGAGCGGCAGCCTCCCGGTGCCGGTCTGCAGAGGCCGGAGAACGCAGCATCCCAGTGCCAGGCGCTACATGCCCCGTCCCGTCTCCTCCCAAGGCAAGGGAAATTGCAGCTCGTTTCCTGACCGGTTGGTGATTTTCACCAAAAATGACGCAACTCTCATCGCTCACGATCTTCTCGTACACCGCCCGCGAAACATTCGTTAGCGAAAAGGTGATTTATTATAACGAAGCGATCAAACCCACGAAATTTCTCTCGCGATCTGCAAACTCAACGCGGGCAAACCGCGTGTGTGTCAAGACACGGCTCTGCTTCATTCGGGGAAAGGGGGAACGGCTCTGCTAGGCTTGAAGCCCCCTCTCCGGCTGCTTAGTTCGGGAAAAGGACCAGGAAGGGCGGTGCTGCCTCGCCCGCCGACCGTGCCCCGGCCCCGCGGAGCTGCCTGCCGAGGCCCCGGCCCCCGCCGGCCGAGCAGCGCCCGGCGCGGCCCCGAGCCGGCGGCGCTTCCCGCGGAACTCACCGCCGCAGGTGCGGAGCCGCCGTCCCGGCGCGGCGGGCCCAGGTGCCGAGCGCGCTGCGCGGGAGCGGAAGGGCCACCGCCGCCGCGCTGTCCGTCATCTCCCCTGGCCACTGGGAGGGCGGCTGGGCGGTGGGGCCGCCCCAGGGGCGGGCTCGGGGGGGCGGTGGGCCACGGGCCCGGCCCAGCCCGGCCCTGCCCACGCTGCCCTGAGGTTGAAATGCAGAAGTCAAGGCTCTCTTGTCGGGATGTAGATTTCCTTGTAGTTCTTTTCTTCCTCACGCTACCGTTCCCTCCTCAGCGGAGATCAGAGAGGCTCGGGGCCAGTGCGGCCAGGAGCGCAGAAGGCCGGGAGTCGGTTCCCGGGCGTAGGGATCCGTTGGGATTTAGGGCCGGCCTCGAGGTGTCCCGCTCAGAGGAATGGGTAAGTGGCCGGGAGCCGCAGGAGGGTTCAAGTGCTGTCAAGAGAGGGGGAGCACCCGTGCTCAGTCATCTGCCACCGCCGCGGCTCCCTTATTGACTTTGCTCGTGTTCCTACAAGTTGTAAGAACATGTTGAGGGCCAGGAGCAGGGGAGAGAGAGAGCTAATGACTAGTCGGCTTGTTATTAGTGTTATTAGGCGAGTGCGAGGCAGGATCGAAGCCGAGCGGATGGCTGGAGCCCGTGACACGTTGTATATTATTCCTGACACCGATCGTAGCAGTTAACATTTTAACACGCTTGTTTTACAGCCCAGTGTAATCGTGCTGTTAAGCGAAAGGCGCTAACAGCACCAGGATCGGTCTTTAAAAAGTTAGTCCCGACTCAGAAGCACAGCGCTGCCCTCGTCTCTCCCAAGATGTAAAAGAATTTCCTCAACTACTTTTCCTTCCTCCCCCTCCCCCACGCCTTAGAAGATGTTTTTATTTTCTTTTTGTTTTCTTCGCGTTCCTTTTTCCTGTGGCAATAAAGCTGAATTGTCTGTTGGGGCGATCTCATTTTTCATCTCTGGAATGTGCTTATTTTTGGGAATATGCTTGATGCACAGTCCGGAGAGCTCCGACATTTCTAGCGATTTTTTTTTCTGTCTGTCTTTTAATTTTTCTTTCTCTCTCCTTTTTTTTTTGTTTGTTTTTGTTTGTTTTGTTTGTTTTTAACTTCCCACTTCTCTTCCTCCCTCTCCTTCAGTCTCGGGGGCATCCCGCTAATATAAAGAAGCGTGCGTGGAGTGACCGGGGAGGGGGGTCCCTGTCTGTGACATCTGTCTGTGGTGAGGAGCTGCTCAGGCGCCCCCTTCTGTGGCGTCCGCCGTGTCCGACGGCTGTGTTTGTGCATTTGCTTGCAGAACCTGCCTTCGGGGAAGTGAACCAGCTCGGGGGGGTGTTTGTCAACGGGAGACCCCTGCCCAATGCCATCAGGCTGCGGATTGTGGAACTGGCGCAACTGGGTATCAGGCCGTGTGACATCAGCCGGCAGCTCCGCGTTTCCCACGGCTGTGTCAGCAAAATCCTGGCTCGCTACAACGAGACCGGCTCCATCCTACCGGGGGCTATCGGCGGCAGCAAGCCTCGGGTCACCACTCCCACGGTGGTAAAACATATCCGGACCTACAAACAAAGGGATCCGGGCATCTTCGCCTGGGAGATCCGGGATCGCCTGCTGGCCGATGGCGTGTGTGACAAGTACAACGTGCCGTCGGTTAGCTCCATCAGCCGCATCCTCCGGAACAAAATCGGGAACCTGTCTCAGCAGAGTCACTACGAGTCTTACAAGCAGCACCAGCCGCCCCCACAGCCTGCTCTGTCCTACAACCACATCTACCCCTACCCCAGCCCCATCGCTGCTGCAGGAGCCAAGGTGTCCACACCTCCCGGAGTGCCGGCGATCCCCAGCGCCATGGCCATGCCCAGGACGTGGCCGTCCTCTCACTCGGTGACGGACATCCTGGGGATCCGGTCCATCACAGACCAAGGTGAGAGATGGGGGGAACCGGGGCCACAAAGGCAGCCAAACAAGGCCGGAGGGGTTCGGTCCCTTACTTCTGGGTTCTTTCCTTTCCGAGAGTGTGAAGGTGGTTTAGTTGTTTGATTCGGGAAACCTCTGCCGTTTTCCGGGCACGGGCCGAGCACTGAGCTTACTGGAGGACGCGTCTCGGAACGTGGGCAGACTGAAGGGCCGGGGTGGGCTGCAGGAAGACCAGCAAAGAGGACACATTGGCCGTCACCTCCGCCTCCCTGACCCGGGAAGTGGGGATCTTCGCCGGGGGGTACGACCCGGGGTACGGCGGCACCAGGGCGCGCTTGGTCCCAGTCCCGGTCCCGGTCCTGGTCCTGGTCCTGGTCCCGGCCGAGGCTCGCTGCCGCACTCCGGTCACGGGCGCTGCCTTGGCGTTTCTGAGAAGTCAATTTTCTGTAGTTTTCGTAATCAGGCCAAATTTGCTTCGGCAGGAAGTTCAAATGTCATCTAATTGGTTTCATTCTGATGGTGTATTTTCCTCCGAAGCGGTGGTCTACGAAAACCAAAGGCCCAAGATTTGCCTCTTTTATCCCTTTCACATTCTTTCGGCTCCTCCGCCTGGAAACTGTGTCGCGTCTCCCAGCCGCTCGCTAGCAAGGGACATTTTTTCCATTTCTGTCTCTGCCAGTGAACTAACAGTGAAAGCGTTACTCAAAGTGTCACTGAAAACAAGTGTCCAAAATAACCTTTGCCTACAGCGATCTCTGTGTCCCATTCTTCTCTAAGTATTAGTGGAGAGGTGGGAGCTGTGATCTCTGTTTTCACTGCCTTTTTAACAGCAACAATGTAATTCTACCAGCATTTCAAATGCAAAATGATCCTTCAGGCATTGCAGAATAATTTTCTTATTTAATCAGAAAGGTGATATTTTTTTCAAGCAACACATGCGTACCCACAAGCACGGTTTTTTTTTTTATTTGTGTACATGCAAAAAGTAAGTTTGTTCTTCTTTGCTCTTCACGATACAACGATACAAACTTTATTCTAGTCCTCATTGGCACAAACAAATGTGCTTGTTTCTGAGTCGACTTCTACAAATACACGCCTGGCAATCTAGAGGTAGTGTTGGCAATGAACATTAAAAAGAATGAGTGCATTACAATCACATAAGAAATTTAGTTTGGTGTTTTTTTTTTTTTTTTCTTAAAGTAAGTTTCTCCTTTATTAACACCACATTGTCAGGCAGGCCTCTAACGGTGCTGCCGGGTGCCTCGGTATCTGTCCGGTCTCCCTCAGCCCCCGCAGCGACACACATCTTTCTGCAGTGTGAAATCTCCCCCCTCCCCTTCCCGTCAGAGGGTCAGGGCTGCGGAGTGGCCGATGCCGCAGATGGGGGCTGCTCGCCCTTGATTTATAGGGCAAACTGACCTTGCTGACACGGAAAGGAAGCCCCTATTCATGGGAAAGTGTGAGATCAGCAGAAAAGGGCGCTCGCCAAGGGAGCTCAATTTCTTAAGACAACTTCAGATTTGTGCCTTTCCCCAGCACGGCGAGGGGCCGAGCGAGGCGGTGTCTCAGGAAAGCCCCCTCCCACGGCAGCTCCGATGCGGCTGGGCGCGGGGCTCCGGGCATGGCTCCCCCTACTCCTCCCCTGGCTCCCCGGTGCGGGAATTTGGCTATTCGAGGAATTTGTCCGCCAACAAAACATCCCGGTATGCCCATGGCGCGGCTGATAGGCATGTAAATAATAAGACTGTTACTTCTTTTCCTCCCCGCTTTCTTTTCTTCCTCTTTTTATTTCCCTAATAAAAAATTTATTTATTTATTTTATTTTATGTTGTATTTTCTTTTTCTCCCAAAAAGTGTTTGGATCCCAGTTCATCCGCAGGCGTGTCAGATCTGTTTGTAACACGGGGTGTCGTTTCTCCTCTGATTCACAAATACACACACGGCGGTTGCCATAAATACCCCTTTAGGAGATCCTGGGGGATAAACGCCGGTCGGCAGCTCCGTCCGGCCAGTGCGGGGACGTGGGGCAAGTGAGCCAGCCAGCTCTGGGCTGGGCTGCTGATCTCTGTCACAGGTTTCACGGAGGGAGCTGACTCCCTTCTGCCCACGAATCACCCTCTCAAGGAGCTTCCAGGAGTTTCAGCAAGGTGTGGCGGGCGAGGGACCGGTTTCCCCTCAGCTCTGCCCCACAGACTGCCTTCCATGTGGAGAGGGAGCCGTCTCCGAAGCAAAGCCATTTCCATCTCTGAATCCTAGCCTCTGCCTCTAACTCCCTCTCTCCCGCTCCTTTGTTTTCCAGCAGTGAATGACACTTCGCCTTACCCCAGCCCCAAGGTGGAGGAATGGAGCAGCTTGGGCCGAAACAGCTTCCACCCGCCGACCCAGCATGCCGTGAACGGGTTGGAGAAGAGCTCCCTCGAGCAGGAGGCCAAGTACAGCCAGGTAAAGAGAGAGTGGGGGGCGGGCAGTGATGCACAGGGCTCCTGAGCTCGGCCTCGGGCTACCGTCCTCGGTTTGGAGCCGGTGCCGGACTTTCTTCTGTTTTGGTTTGCAAAGACGGGCGGAAAAAAGGCTGGCTCTCTTCGCTCCTCTCTCCGCTTCCTCCCCGGGCCCGGCGGCCGCGGCGCCCGGCACCCCCACCCCGCCCTGCTGCCGGCGGGCGGAGGGCCGGGGGGCGGCAGCGATCGCATCCCGGCCCGGGGCTGCCCCCGCCCCGCCCGCCCAGCGGGCGCTCCAGACCCGCCGCCAGCGACCCCCGCCCCGGCCGGGCCAGCGGGCACGTCCCGCCGCCGCCTCCGCCCATAACGCCGCGTTTTACTCTGTCCGCTGCGTGCTCTGTAGTCAGGGGAATAATTTGAAAATGAGATGTAATTGCTTCCTACATTAAGCATTTTTAAACGCTTAAGTAGACGGCGAATTTCCTACGTTTTAATTACAACACAATATAACTGTTACTTAATAAATCTCTGTCTAAATCTTTGTACTCCCTAATCAAGTCTCATGCCAGGAGAAAAGCTATAAAAGGCTCAGCTGTTACTCGTTGGGAAAGCACAGGTTTTAAAAACATTTTTTTCCATGTGATGGAAACATTTCAAAATGCATCAGAGGTCTCTCAGACACACTGACTTCCCGGCCACACATTTGTTGTGCTTAGAAGCAAGTCAAAGAAAACCCATAATCGCTGTTTAGCATTTTTCCCATTCGAAGACAGAGGTTTTGGATGTATTTTTTGAGTTCTGTGTCTGGTTTTAGATCCATGTAGCTTTTGTAGCTCGTGTTCGGTGGTGAGAGTAGCTGAATCAGACTCTCAAGATGCGGAGCACAAACTGCGGGAGCATTTGCGAAGAGCGGGCAGAGTGGGAAATACTGTAGAACCTGATAGTGAACAGCTACTTCAGTACATATCTTGCCCTTTAAAAACTACACCACCCTCAATGCTATCCTATTTGTTTTGTTTTTCTATTATGCCATTATTATTATATTCATTTCATAACACAAGTAATGTGTGCTATAGTGTAGCTATTATTGTATGATTAAAGATAGAATTAGATGTAATTTAGTGTTACTACTCCTTCTACAATTTTCTTTAAAGACTAAAATAAGCATTAACAGTCTTGCTAAAAAACAGTAGATACAGATCGTCACTACTCCGTAAGAGCAGCTGTACTGTGGCTTCATTGTCTTAGGCTCCAGGCTGGGCCTTCTGCGCACAGTCCTGCTGAAATATTCACAGGATCTTGTTCACTGGCTATAAACCATGGCCTCTGATGGATCTCATTTATTTTACAGATGTGTTGAGGAACAGTGTTTGAGTTATCGAGTTATTTTCAATGTTGGTTTGAAAATTATTTTTTACCTTTTCTTTTTTCTTTTTTCCTTTCAATATTTATGATTTAATATGCATAATATATAACTGTTCTATTGTCAATATCAGTTTTACTTTAAAGTTTTGTTCAACCTGAAAGATCACCTGATAAATGTTATTTAAACACACAGTATTTAAAATCTGAGAAAATTGTTATTAATAAAATGGATTTCATTTATCCAAGTAAATTGTCCAGAGAGTTTCAAAGGGCAGAAAAGCCATATTCAGATCCCTGCTCTCTAAAGGAAGATATAGAGGAGGTTCTTCCCAGCTTCTTCCCTGTAATAATAATATAGGTAAACAGAATTTGGCTTTGGAAAGTTTTAACACACAGACCCGTCTATTAATATAGTATTCAGAATTGTTATCCAGAAAATTAATTTGAATGCGCATTAATTGCTTTGTCTGTCACAAGTTCACTACCTTGCTAATTAAGAATATGTTAAAAAAAATCATGCTAAATAAGGATGGGAAAATGTGATAATTTGCAGTTTTTGCAACATTCCTTTTGCCAAAATATTTATTCCGGACAGTGTGAAGTGAAGTTGATGAACCAAATTCCTGCTGCACATAATGCTGATTTACTGTATTTTCGCTAAAGTGTAGTGAGTCTGGAGTGGCAGTTGGTGAGAGTAAAGACTTACAAAATTTTCTAACATCATCGGATGCATGGTCTCTTGCAATGTATATGGTTTTGGTTGTAAAGAGATGAGCAGGGGATATGAGAGAATGTCGGTTCATTTGTGAGTCTAGCAGGGAGGTATCTGGAGTGGTGGGAAAATGGGGAAGTCTCAGATATATTTAATATGCCAGAAGGACTATGGTGAAATAGCCTGTGTTGTTATACTTTGGGGTAATTGCCATTTCCTTACCTCTTTTGGGCAAAGCTTATTACAAAAACTCTTAAGGGTCTTAAGGATGTAGACATCAAGTTTCCCCCAGAGAAGATAAGTGATTGTTCTGTTTTTATGTCTCTATTATCAAAATCAGAGGTGCCTACAAGAGGAGGGAATCAAGCGTGGATGTTTAACTTAGGCTTCCCAATTTCACCACAGGAGCAGAGGAAATGTGCTCTGAAGCACATTAACAATGGATTTTGTGTGGGTGATAGGTAATTCTGCATTTTCCAGCAAATATCAATTATGTATTTAGGTATCACCAACATCCAAAGTTCACCTGTCCATAACTTGCAAATAGCTCCATAATCTTTCAAACCAAGTGAAAGACTTGTTCCTCAGCTTTAGTCATGGAAGATAATATTTTGCTTCTCAAGAAGTTCCCTGGAAAATCGCTCTGTGTGAGAAAGACTAGAAAAATTGAGACCAAAGAACAAGGTCTTGTGTACTTTCACAGTAAATTTATTTTAACACTTCTTTTAGATTACATACATTTGTTTTAAGACACGGGATACTGTAGTCTTTTTGTAGGCAAAACTCTTACTGACATTCCAGACTTGTCAGGCAGCAGCCAAGGCTGACCTCTCCTTGGTTCCAATGGCTACATTTCAGCCCTTGTCCCACGCATCACTGGGAATTCACCCACGAAAAAGCAGGGAGACTTCACATTTTTTCCTTGACAATATGCAGTCATACTAGTTATTTTATGTATTATGGATTTCCTGGGGCTTTTGTTTGCAATGTTGTTCCTATTTGGGTTTCGGGAGTTGAAAGCTCAGCCTGGCAGACTGTGATTCTGTACAAAACATTCCACAGAAAACCAAAAGATGCTTTGTCAAGTTTCTATTCAGGTTTAATTACCTGATGTCCCAGGTTGTCATTTATATGTAAGCAATTGCATAATTTCCCTGGTGTATCACACTCACAGATTTGTCATATGGCTTTCAAACAGGGTGACAGTGAATCAGAGAAACTGAAAAGGAAAATAGATTTTCCCAAGAGTTTGACAGTTTTGTGTCATATGCATTTCATACAGAACTCAGTTATATTACATTATTTACGGAGGGAGGCACATTCAGGGTGGTGTTCAGGTGATTCTAAAGACATATTATGTTATTGTTGCAAAGGATGAATATTCTGAGTATTTTCTTTTCCATTGCATGGCTTATACTGACTACTGCATTAAAAAAATAGCTGGAATGACTGCAATATGAACACATTTGTAACCTGCATTTGAAATCAAAACATTTAATAAACATGTATCCTGTCTAAAATGCAGATCTCAGACATCTGATGCTTCTGACTTGCTGGACTAATATAATAGATGTTCAAAGTGAAAAAAAATGTGATCCGTATTTGCACATGTATGAGAATGAAGAAGACCTGACATACATCTGTATGATTGCTGAGAGGCAAATAGCTTGGAAAAAATTTCTTTTCAGAATGACTTTCTGTGCGCATTGCAGGACGCAGATGTGCATATTGCCAAAGGGAGCTGATACTCATTAATGGGAAAAAGCTTGTAACTGGGGGGTCCAAGAGAAGCTTGCTCCTGGAAATGGTATGCTCTTTGGAGGCCTCATCCCAAACCTACTGGAGCTGCAGGAAACACTATTACTAATTCAGGGGAGCTTGTGAACATAGTTGGAGTGAAGTCTTCCTCTGACACACTGGCCAAATCCTTAAGCAGCAACTACCTCAGGTCTGTCGCAGCTGAACTTCCTCAGCTGTTAGGGGATTGAGTTTTCGGCATTGCTGGCATATCACTCCCTGTCCTTTGGCTGCATTCTGACTGAGGGCCGTGAGTTCTGTGTGCTGCAAGCACATAAAAGGAAGGCTCCATTTTAGGGCAAGTGATTGCAAATGTAGGTACAACTCTGGACAATTACTTGCACAGAAAATGTAGGTAATGTAAACATTTAGTTCCTGATCTTTCATTTATAGATGAACAGTGAACTATGTATATTTGGTGGCCATGCATCCGTAACTGTATCTGCAGTGCTTAGAACTCACAACACAGGGTAACTTCTTTAGGGACAACATTAAAATCTAGCTTTAAATATTATGGCAAATTATATGGCCCTCCTACATCCATGATTTACTGAAAAAATTAATTAGCAAATTACTTATTTGGCATCTTACAACTCAGGATCCAGGCAGTTGGATTCCTGCTATGGGTCTGTGCAAGATCCATCAATGACAAAGGTCCGGACCTACTGCTTTTCAGTCATAACCGGGCAGCAGGGGGGTGAAGCTGTGAAGGAGAGGTGTTTATTTGCTTTCTTGCTGTAGTACCCAGCAGCATTGTTAGCAGAGTCTAGTGCTCTGCTAGAGCACTCTAGAGCACTAGCTAGAGCACTAGGGGTCAGACCTTGGCTTGGAGACTGGTTCTGTGTCACTCTCACTAGGATCTCCAGACCAGGCCTGCTATCAAAACATTGCCACTAAGACAGCTTGCTCAAGGTCTAGGCATCCTTATCATTGCATGTTGTGGGTGAGGGAGATGAGCTGATCCCACTACATGCACCCGATTCCTCCCCAGGTGATCTGGATGGCACCCAATTCGAACCCCATTTGTGAGACCTGCCTCTTACTGGCCACCTGCTTCCACGGCCAAAACACAGTGCCCTGTCCACCAACCCACATGGCTTCAGGGCACTCCACCCGGATGAAACTAATAAAGAAAGTCAGAGAGGTGAGTGAATGGTATAATGACACTCAAACTGCACTCTAAGCACCTTCTGCTCAAAGGACCCCAACCCACCAGAAGGTCTGTCATGACAAACATGATCAGGGATCGTAAAGTGGGAGTGATGGGAGATACCCATCACAGCCAGGGAGCAGAGTGCCAGGAGCAGAGGCCTGTTCAGTCTTGGTTCTTGCAGTAGATTGGCAAGTATATAAAGACTGTATAGTGTGTTTGAATTTGTCTGTTGTGGCAATTTATTAGCTTTTAGGAATTGCCTACACACCCAGTCATAATAACTGTAGGCATTTAACAATTGATGGGTTATGGCTTCACCCAGTAACTGCCTCTGCAGCATCAGAGATTTGCAGCATCAGAGACATAGGAGACTTCTGTTTTGGCTGTCCCTGAAAAGAACAAGGTGATGACTTTACCAGTTTGACCCCATATTTGCCTTGCTTCTAGACATCAAGAATCCCTTTGAAGTGTCTGTGTCCATAAGTGTCCTCCTTCAGTTTCATTTAAATAACAGCATTTTGAAATTACAATATATTGCTTGGTATATAATATTAAGAAGGTATTTTTCATAGAACCTTTCACTAATACATTATGGTGTTAACTAACAGCATAGAAAATAACTAATGTTTATTTCTTCCAGTTTATTTGCTTGTTTAGTGTCCATGTGTGCCCTGCCCAATTCCAGATTTTGTCAAAATACCAAGCGGGAAGTATTGTGTAAATCTTTTCTAAAACTATGGGAATCTGTTGTTAATTCCAACTCAAAGGAGTTTGCTTATATGACGTGATTTTTTCCCCCTGTACTTTCCTATTGTCCTCATAAGTCCAGAATATCTGTCTAAGGAAAACTAAGCTGTGTTTTTGTCATCAGAACCAAGATTTGTGCTTAAAGCAAGCAGAATTTGTTTTCACTCCACTTTAAAATAGCCTGGTTGTGAAGTTTGTTGAATAGAACATACCCCAAGATCCAGCATCTTCAGTGGAAAGGCAGTGACTTTGATTTATATTGTCCTTTTCAGCCTGGTGTATGACAGGGAAGCAACCATTCAATGACAGTGTAGATAGACCTTGAATTATAATCTACATTTGGAGATATTTGGGGGGACATGTTAGTGTGCGCTTGGTGTGATCTCACTTCATTGTGAAAGCCGTCTAAACCCATTGTGCTTCTGAAGCACTGGAAGATCTTGCTCCCTGCTTTTCCCTCAGAATGTGCTTAGGTTTTACCACAACCTCTGTCTGCCTTTTATCCACCATGCCTTTTTCTCCTCCCTCTCTTTTCCTCCGTTGTTTTTGTAGTAGATTACTCAGTGTCAGAGAATAAGTGGTGGTTTTTTTTCCTTTTTTCCTTACCCCCTTTCCCTATCCCCCCCCCTTTTTGTTTTTTCTTTTCTTTTGTTTCTGCTGTAGTTTGCTTTGGAAAAGATATAAAATGCCCCTGGCTCCTTCAGGAAAGGATTGGTGATGGTGTGTAAATTCAAGTTACTATTTCCAAAACCGAAATTTTATTTCCCTGAAGAGGCTGAGATTTAAAACTGGATAAGAAAATACAATTTAGAGTGATCTTAATGCATGTCCCAAATATAATTAAAACACTCAGTTGATATTATCTGGTTTCTGTGTTATTCACTGCAGCTGGGGATGGCTATAGGTAAAGGAAACAACTTCAAGTTAATAAAAAAGCACATTAAACATGGGGAATGGGAACTGATTATTATGAAAGGACTGAATTTTATTTTAGAAGGAAAGAGGGGTGATTTTCTTACACAGTGCATTGCTGTGCATTGAATTTAATAATGGGAGAAATAGCTGCAAAGAAAATGTCATCTTTTTAAGAGATAATGTATAGGATTGAGTGGCTAACTATATTTGAAATATTAGAGCACTTCAGCTCTAAGAATAAGTCTGTTTTAATTTTGTCTTCAACTAGAATACCAGCATTACTTTGCACAACTTACAGTGAAAAAGAAGTAGGGTAATTCTCCATTCTTGAAAGGTCTCTTTTCCTTTTTCAAATCACAGTCTTCTGGAAGTCAAGTCAGTTCAGCTGAGCAACAGAGCAGCTTTGTAACCCCTTGCCCATGTGTTATTTTTAAAAGCTTCTCAATTCCAATATATTATCACTGTTCACTCTTTCTTGAAAAAAAGGCAAATATTATATTTTATAATATTATACAAAATTAATATCTTACATACAAAATATTGCCTCTTTTTGTATGTCAAAATTGATTTTGTATGACAAAAATTTGATGTTTTTCTGTGTCAAAATTATTTAATATCAGTGTCCTATTTTTTTTCAGAGTCTTATTTTCTGCTGATTGCAGTGAAATAAATAGAAAATCAAATCAGGAATATGTTCAATAAAATAAGTTAATTCATCTAAGAATATGGATATTTAGTCTAATGAAAATATTTTTGCAAGAATATTTTCCAGCTCTATAAAAAGCAAAACATGATTTGCAGGATTAACTGGCTAGGTTATTCAGATACACTTTATCAATTTAATCTCATTTTTTCTTAAAAATATTTTTAAATAAAAATCATTACTATAAATAGGGGAAATTTACTCAGTATTCACTTTCGTAACCCTTTCTTTAGGTAATTGTGACTTACCTGTGTAGGCACATAAATTTTAGTGGAGCACTGATCTGAACTGATTTGTGGTATCATCATTTTTCCTGTTGATGCTGTAGCACTGAATTGCAGCTTCAGAATTTAGCTCTAATTTAGTAACTACAATTTCTACAAAAATATTACTTATAAATTTTAAAACCTAAGAAACCTTCAATTTTTATTACTTGGACAATTTAGTAATGCCATTTTTCTAAATGATACTTCTATTACGCGCTTGCTGCTGCTGTTTTACTTGAAAAATTTGTTTGCTTTTCCCTAGAGATCCCGTATGTTGGCTTGATTTATAAATCATATTTAATCTCCAATTATAAAGGGAGATTTAGCATATTTGCTTCCTTGATGTTTGCAGTTTGTGTTTGATTGCTCCTCGTCTTGTTGCCATAATCATTTTAACTGGTTATGTGTATGTCCCTAAAAATGAGATATCCTCTGGATTTTTATGCTAATTTGCTCTTCTGATTGAAGGACTAGATATTTTGCTCCCTGCTACGATTTTTCTTGCCGTGGAAAGAACAACTGCTGCAATAGCTTCTTCATGACTGTGTTTTCAGGCCATTTGGAAAAGATTGATCATTTCCAGAAAACGTTTGAAGGTTTTCATTTTGAAAACCTGCAGCGAGAGGGTGTCTGTGTGCGCTGAGCTGCGGCAGTGTCCCTGCAGAGGAAGCTGCTGCCAGCTCTCCACTGTGCTCCCGGTACCTGCTCCCGGTACCGGCTCCCGGTACCGGCTCCCTGGTACCTCTGCTGGCTGGTTTCAGTTGCTCTCGGGGAAGGGCTGTGCTGCAGGATCAAGGCAATGTGCTGAGCTTGGTGATCCCAGGACAGGAAGGATTCATTCCATCCAAGTCAGTGTTAGAATTGCGAGATACAAACGAAAACAGCAACCTTATTCACCAGAGGTGTGTCCCTTAAGCCGTGACACAGACTGAACTTCTGATGATTGTAGCAGGGGATTTTAGGCTGAGTCACTGTTCAAACTCATTCAGGCTGCTGAATTAGGTAACTTGAACTTGAAAGTTATGCTGTTTCTCCAGAAACGTTTTTTTAAATAGTAATTTAGAATTTAGAATACTTCTACAAAGCCTGCATTCATAGTCAATGCAATACATGAACTATTTAATTAAATATTGTAACAATTATATTACAATGGCGGTAATTTAAATAATGATTTTATTATTATTATAATGATTTTATTATTATTTGCAATTATTTAAATAATTGTAAATAATAACGATAAGAAAAAACAATTTACATTATTTTTTATACCTGCTTTAGAGTTAGATTATGAAATTGAGGGGGCATCCACCTGTGGTATCAAATGTGCTCTTGTTTGTATTCAATAAAACTGAAATAAGATCCTTTGCATTATTGCCATTAATGATAGCTAACATAAATACTAGTCTGTGATTTTGAATGTTACAATCTGGGTCATTTTCTGAAACATTGAGAAGCAACATGAGAAGAGAACATAGGAGATGAACTAGTTTTGATACATACCTAGCAAGCAAAAGTCAGAGAAGGAAAATTAGGAAAGGGAATGAAACAAAATAATATAAATTCACTACAATATATAGTTAGAATTTATACCATGAGGACTGAAAGTGAAATTTAGCTTGCATATTTCTCTAGTTCTTCTATGACCAAGCCAGAAAAAACCCAAAATTGGATAGTTTGACATGGATTGACTGGGAAGTTTGTCCAGAAAGCTTGTACCCTTGTGTCTTCTTGCCATGAAGGAGAGAGGAGGCTGAAGCTCTGCAACACACTATACAAGCATAACCTTCAAAACAGATATCAAGGTGTATGTGGTGGTTACCTCTGGTTGTAAAAGAATTGTTCTGACTTTTAGGAGTCCAAGCAACTAATGGAAATTACTTACTCCAAAGATATTCTCACATTAGCTTGGTTCTAGACTTGCTTTTCATCCTCCCTCTGTGTTGCAAACCACAGACAGACTGAAAACAATAACAAAAAAAAAAGTTGTCTCTAGTTAGTATTGTATCTAAAGTGTCCAAAACTAAATATTCCATCTGTTAAAACTACTTAAGCAACTCCTTTACTGGTGAAAATATGTGCAGTCTGCTTGTTTCAGCAGTACCATTTTGTGTGACCCAAAGCATGGCTTCATGTCCACACTGGTCTCGATTTCTCATCTCAATATTCCTTTTACTGTCACTGGCAGGTATAAGCAACAACTTGGCAGAAAGGCACCAGATCCAGCTTGTGATCCTGACCCAATTACTCTTGTTTTTCTGGCAGCTTTGCAAGAACAGGTTTAAATAAATTTTTTGAGTTGGTGGGAGGTCATGTGTTCTAGGTTTCAAATGCAGCTTAAGGTTTAGAAATACTTATTCCATCAGTTGTCTGAAAACATTGATAGAAGCAGCAATTGAGAGCAAAAGTTCCTCTCTGATCTTTGTAGAAGCCAGAAAGTAGGCACTTTCAAATGGGAACCCTTATCTCTTACACAGCAGAGGTTCTTGTTCAGCTACAACTAAATGTTTGTTTGTTCGCTTTAAAAAATTAGATTTCCCTTGAAAAACTATGGTTCAAATTAAGAAAAAAAAATATTTATAAAACTTAAAAGCCAGGTTCAAGAACCTCTGCACTTAAAACAAATTCTTAGGGTTTTAAAAATCCATAAACACCATGGGGTTCTTGCACTCCTAATTACAAATGTTTAGATTTTGGTGTTCATTTCCTCTGATTGAAATACTGCAGGATGAATTATTCATCCAGTATATACAGGGTCATGGAACTTAATCCCCTCCATTTATTTTAAGTGAATGTCATGTTTGTAAAAAGTGCCAGATTGACAGACAAGATTCAACCCTTCTGATAACCTACACTTTGTATCTAAGGCTGTTTGGAAATAAAAACACTTCTGTCAGGACTATTAGGCCAAGTCTTTCACAGATGAAAGTCAGAGATGAAAATTTGGGTGTTGGGGTTTTTTTCTTTTTTTTTTTTTTTTTTTTTTTGAGTAGCATGCTTTAAAATCATATAGAGTGAGATTTTCTCTGTCCCCTCATCTTTTAATTTGGGTCAGATGAAGCCTCTGACTGCTTTGTGAATATGGCTCAAGTCTCCCCTGAGGCAGAACTGCACTCTGTGCTGGGCCAGTTCCTACCCATCCCAGTGCTGCTTGCTTGGCTGAGGGCATCTGTGACATCCACAGAATTATGGTTTTGAGTGGTAAAGCTTTGTAGCAGTACAATAAAAATAAGAATGATTCACCAGTTCAGTGAGGCAGTGATGACAGACAGCATTGGTGGCCTCTGACAGGTTGCAGCTGGTGGTCCCTACACAACTGTCTCTACGTCCTGCCCTCAGTAGTTGGCGCAAGATCTTTCTGACATTCAGAATAGACTATAAAAATGACAGTTTTGAGTATGATAGTGTGTGTGTGTGTGTGTGTGTGTAAAAGGATTGTTCTGGCTGCTATAAATCTGTATATGTATTTTTTTAAATTAAGCTTTTACAAAAACTAGTGAATCTTTAATCAATTTCCATCTGTTTTATCAACAACAACCCAAGTGGCACCTACAGTATGATTCAACAGGAAACCTGGGCTTCTTCATGAATTATGGTTTGAAGACTTTGTGCCATAAGGCCACAGAACATATGTGTGATTGGATCAAATATTTATCAATAAGCCTGTTGATAAAATATTTATCAATAATGTCTGTATTACTGTGAGGTGTTCAGGAGCTCAGATTTGCCTCAGATCATGCAAAGTCATCTTGTGGTTGCTGAGGAGTCCCTGGTGGCCTTGTCTTTAGGAGATGCAGTAGGCCAGGACATGGGCTGGACCATTGGTGGATCAGCCTTGTTGGCACATTGCCTGGCACAGATCTGCCCTGTACCTACTAACACATCCTTCCCAAAGCACAGCTAATGGTTCACAGAACATGAGCATTTCTAATGAGGAATCCTGCTTAAAATGGGGCTTCCAGGCACAGCCTTGAGACCACTGCTTGGGAGTGGGAAAGCTTGAGGAACAGGGTGGATTCAGAGAGTCCAAAAAACCTTTTTTGAGGTCTAGAAGCTGAAGGTTTGTGCTGTCTCAGCGGCTATGAGACTTCAGGGATTTGTCCCATAGATTTTCTCCTTCCAGCACCCACCCGTTCAGGGTTTCTCTACTTCTCTGTGCAGAATATGTTTGGGTTGTGGCTCTTGATATGCCAGCATTACAACCTGGCTTCAGTGGCTCTACTGCCCCTGTGCAAAGCTTTTGGTTGGTGCTTGTTAAAAAAAACAGAGGTGCTAATTTTTGTTTCATGTTTGCACATTGGAAAAGCAGCTTTTTAGGGCCACACTTTTTATTTCCAGTGAATTCAATGGCATAATTTTCCATGTGATTCAAGAATTTTACTGATTTGCAGTGCAATTATTTGCAGGTTTGTATTAATTAGTATTGTTGCAAACACCGATATTTAAAGCTGAGGCTAAAGTGTAGTTGAGTCACAGTAGGGGGCACATAATACAAGTTACTGGTCAGATCACATTATTTGGATTTTCAAAAGAATAAGGCAAATACTTCAACAAAGCATTTACTTATTTTGAATGACAATTACATTGCTTCTGCAGCTGTATGTTTTGTATTAATTAATATTCCTATTGGAAGCTTGTGACCAGCATCCCATTGCTATCTCCTGCTGCTTTAGATTGCTGTACAGGTTTATATTGATAGAATCCAGCAGAATTACTGCTCTCTTTCCCAAATGACCATGAGAGGATAGTCTAGGCAGTGGAACTGTGAGCTACATGGGTAGGAAACTCATGAGCCTAAAAATAGGCCAGTGCCCTTTATAAAGGTAAATACTAGAAATCAGGCAGGTGCAATCCAGGCAGAAATTGAACAAGTTAAATGTTCATACCATGTGAAATTTTAGCAGAAACAAAAGTCTCTTTAATTTTTTAACTTTGCACTATTCAGATTGTGTCCAGTTGTACCTTGTGATGATGCTACAGGATTTGCTGAATCAGTGCTCTTCTTTCATATCCAGATAGGAAGGATTTCTGAGAAAAAATGCCACCCCAAATCCTAAAACAAACACTACACACATTGAAACTTAAGCAAGATAAATGATCTTGGTTTGTACCTGTTGTGCTGAAGAAACATTTATGGGTGTGAAATAAACCACCAAACACTATTTAGTTAAATGAGGAGTCATTAATTGTGAAATCATAGCATAGCTGACTGAAGGACTCTCCCTTCTCTATTTAAATAGAAACCCTTCTCTCCAGCCTACAGAAGGACCTAGGAAAATAGCTTGCAGGAAAGGACCCAGCCCTGCAATTGTTTTGTGCAAGGAAGCCCTGTTGAAACCGGGAGAAGCTATGAGCATAGAACATTTGCAAGTTTTTTGTCCCAAGCATCTAGAAAACAGATTTTTAAAAGTCACCATCAATAATACTACTACTATAGTTCTGACTAATGCCCTGAACAAACAGTTACCAAAGAGTTTCAGATGTTCCACCTCCCCCAGCCGCTGTTACCTCTTCACTCAGGGAGTGCCCGCACCTGCCCATGGCAGCTCAGGCTGAGCCCACCCTCCTTGGGGGCCAGGAGAGGTGAGGCACAGGGATGGGTCTGTCCCTCCTGCTGCTGGGATGGCTGTAGTCACTGCACACCCAGCTTAAACTGCCATAGCACTCCCCAGCAGGGCTTGCAACAGTGACCGACACTGTGTGAAATTTGGGAGAAGTAGGTAAATGTCACAGTGCATCAACTCCAACCTGTGGAAATCATTGCCAAGTGCATTAAGGTGCTCAGTGAGAGAGAAGGGAGAGACTCATTACAAATCCCTCCAGTAGCTCTCAAGTGTAATGATTACATACAACCATGGATTCCCTGAACAGCAGCTTGCAGGAAGGTAGGCAGGTGTATGGAGACCTTAGCAGTTCCTGCCCTGCTCTTGGTGTGTGTTTCCTTATCATCTGCTGGTGGTCCCTGTCTGGGACAGGTTGCTGGGAGAGGTGTGAAGCACTGATCGCAGTGGGGTAACTGGTCTTAAAAGCAAAGCAGAAGGGGCCACTGAGACCCTGAAATTCAGGGAAATGGTTATGGGTTTCTCTCCTAGTGTCCCCGCTGGTCCTAGTTTTGGTACAAAGCCCAAGCAGGATCTGAGGGCTGATTTCTATGCCAGATCAAATGTGTCTTACTCTCAGAAATTATCTTCCTTTCCTTCTCCTTTCAGGCACCCAATGGCCTCCCAGCCGTCAGCAGTTTCGTTTCCGCACCAGCCATGCCTCCCTACGCCACCCCGGCCCAAGTGTCACCTTACATGCCGTACAGCGCTGCTCCATCCAGCTACATGGCGAGCCATGGCTGGCAGCACGCTGGGGGCACCCCGCTGTCCCCCCACAGCTGCGACATCCCCGCCTCGCTGGCCTTCAAGGGCATGCAGACTGCCAGGGAGGGCAGCCACTCCGTCACGGCCTCCGCCCTCTGATGCAGGAGCTGGTCCAGGAGCACCATGAGCTCGCTGGCTCCTCAGCCCCTGAGCCCAGCTCACAGAGTGCTCTCTTCATGCTGGCCACACCTGGCAATTCTCCTCGTGACTTGTCTCCCCTAAGGCTTTTGGGATTAAAGAGCTGAAGACAACATCAGAAACTGAGAGAAGCATGGTGTTGTACTCTTAAAGACTTTGTGTCCCTCAAAGGGCTCGTGGAGCCTTGTTCCACTCTCTCCTGGTCAAACCACACATATTTATTCTTAATCATCACAAACTTTCTAAATGTGCAATTGTTATTAAGATTTGTGCAAAAATCAATAAAGAAAAATCACCACAGAAAATTCTGCTATGCCTTGAATCAACAAAGGTGGCTGAATGGGAAGTGTTTGCCAAATGCCTAGAGAACAACCATTTAATTGATGAGATTATACAATCCACTGTTATTATGAGGTCCTTTATTGTTGTTTTATTGGGTTTTGGTAATCAAATATAGAACGAAGGCAAAAGGTGGCTTTCAGAGTCTTCTGGCATGTTGCCATCGTCAGGCAGTAGTAAGATCTTTGTGATTTTATCCTTTTGTAAATAGAGGCTTTTGACAGCATTTGTTTTCACCTTCCAGTACATTTCTTATCTTTTTCTTTTTTTCTTTCTTTTCTTTTTTTTTTTTTTTAAAGTTAAGATGATTTCTAGTTATTTTCTATGTCTTTGCATGGTGGGGTGATAGGTGATGAGGTTTAGGTGGGGTTTTTGGTCATGTTTTTGTGTTTACAGTGGAGGCTTCAACATCTTATGAGAGTCATTTCTTTGGCAGAAGAGTCAAAGGCAGAAATCCAGCTAAGTAACTCTCCAGTTCTACCCAGCCTCCCAGATTCATGAAACACCACATTCATATGAAGTGTACAAACAGAAATGGGTGGAAAATACCTGAATAAAACAGAAAACTGTAGAGGAAAATGCTGTTAGTGTGCAACCTGTGCAGAGATGCTTTAAAAGCCCTATCAGTCAAAAACTCCGCTGAGAAACAGAAATGTACCATCATTCTGAGCTCACTTGTGTCCAGATTACATTGTAATTTTTATAGAGGACCTTGTCTTTAATTTCTGTTTTAATGAATGTAAAGTATAGCTCTTGGTAAAGTTTACATTATTGTTCTGAAGCATTTTTTTCCCCTTATAGGTATACTGGTGGTGGTGCTACAAACAGAGATATTATTTAATATTAGCAAATTTTCTTTCTACATTTCTGTATGCAGTGGCAAGTACTCCATGCCAGTTATTTTGCTTTAAACTTTAATCCCAAGAGAGATAACATTTGAAAATTTACCTGTTTTCCTTGGGCAACAATAAAGTTCTGACTATTATTATGCTTTTCCCATGCTGTAGGTATGTTCAGAATATGAATGTGGAAAAAAAAAGCCTGGTGTGACATTTCATATCCATCATAGACTATTAATATATTGTGTATTTTAAAAAGTGTTTTGCAATAATTTAAATTACTGTAGACATAGTTAAAGCAAAGGAGAAAATACTATTCTTCATATGTTGTTCTATCTGCAACCCAGATTAAACACTAATTCAGTGGGAAAGTAAAATACATTTCCCTCTTAAAATATAGTTATCTTTTTGTGGATTTCCAGCTTTCATCACCAAGACACCCGTGGGTAAATTTTCATAACAATCTAAGTAATCAATATTTATGTCATGTACAGTGTGTCCACTGAAATATGGATGGACTTCTCTGGCTGCCGCCACCTTTGCTTCTTGCACTAAAAAATTGTTAACAGATTTGCATTTCTGTAAAGAACACAGATATTGTATTTTGGCCTCAAGGAAACAAAGATCTGATCTTGGATGTGATTAATTTTCTTCAGCCTCAAAGGCATCCAACAGCTGTTTAGTTTTAATGGGATGCTGAAACCCTCATTATTCAGTAGAATACTTTTTCAAGAATGTTTCTTTGAAACCACTAAAGTTAAAGTGCAAACAAGTGCATTTCCACTCTGCCACACTGTTAGTGACATGATGAATGTTATTCTGCCTTTATGCTATTATAGCTGAAATAAGATGAGCATTAACACCATGAAAAAGAAATCACTTTAATACTAGACAAGCTCTTCACTAAAGACAAAATGGGGAAAAAAAAGATAAGAAAAGGATCATAAGTAGATAAGTGATTAAGTTGGCAAGAGGATTTTAGCTTTCAACTTAATAGTTCTACTGGATTACAGAATTATTGAATGAGTCTACCTATTGTATTCCATAGAACTCAAACAAGGGGTACCAAAGGGAAAAGAAAATAAAAAACTAAGGAACTTTTCAAAGCACAGCTTTAGCTTTTTTGAGCTTCAAGACTTTGCAAGCCTGTAACAAAGTGTGCCATGTTAAAAGTTTTCAAAATTTTCTTGAGTAACATGAGGTCATTTCTGGAATAAAAGTTGTCTTTCCTGACATTCCAATAAGGAATTAGTGTGTTTTGGGAGACAGAGAGACAGATCCTTAGCTTGTATCAGTTATTTTCATTATCTTCAGCAAAACCAGGATAAATTATAAAACAAGGACAGGACATTATGTTAATTATTCCTCCCATGGGATACACCATCATAAATAATTTTGTTTTGTGTTTGTCTAGGTACAGCTGTCTGTGCATCTGCCTGCTGTACATGATACCTTACCCCTGAATGGGAAGTCAGCGGGGCTGCATGTGTTGCTCAGAATGAGCAAAATTGCCTGACCTTGGCTCTTGGTGAACTGCCTGTGATGGATTTTTTTGGTGTGATGTTTCACTTTTTTTTTTTTTTTTTTTTTTTTAAATGTAAACCTATGATGTAGAATACTCCTTTGCCCAAGGACTATTTCACTGCTTATACTCATGGGTAAACTGAAAACTGCAACATGTTCACTTATCACACAACTCAAAACCATTTTACATTAAATTAAAAAGAAAAAGGGAATTATTTCCTAAAAAAAAAAAAAAAAAAAAAAGGATTAACTGCTGCTGTCAAGTACCAGGGTATAAATCTGGAGTGAGCCCACTGAGGTGAATGGATACTTTTGGGAAATAATCTGTATATGTGGGTGCAGAATTAAATTTTTTGATCTGAAAAGTCTACACTTCATTACCAGAATGTTAAATATTTCCAAAGAAATCAGTGAAGCCTAATAATACTCCCTTCAACCAAACTATGTTTGCATGGTCCCGGTTCAGGAGATCTTTCAGAAGGTGTAAAACTGAATTTCAGCCCACATTACACATTAGGAACAATGGGGCATTGGGCTGGCATGATATAGGCTTGTTTTCCCACACCATGCTGTTTTCTGCTTTTGAATGTTTCTGCTTTTATCCAGGATCAGGCTGAGCTATTAACTGAAAAAAAATCACATTGGAAAGGATGTAAAACCAAAGGCTATATATGTATATACAGTATGTTTAAAACATTTTATTTTTATATTCTGAATGCTCTAAATTAATAAAAGACAAATTATAAAGCATTTTGCTTTAGTTTCTGAAATTATCTTAGTAGTGTCTTCTCTTTGGCCAAGTACTGATAATAAAATGCAGCAACGAGGAACACTTGCCTTAAAACCATAAACTTTAAGAGAGCTAATTGTATTGATTTTTAGCTATGAAATAGCATAGGTACAAAAAGCCATCATTGCCAAATTCAGACAAAAGAGAGGCTTACTAAGCATGTTAATACAGGCATCCTTGAAAGCGCTGAAAACACATTTCTATTTTTAGCTTTTTGTTGCTTTTCCAATGCATTAAAAAGACTTGTGAGATGAGACTTCATGTGAGCTGCCATTTTCAAGTAACAATGCAGAAAGATACTTCTTTGGGATTGCCAAGGGAAAAGCTTGTACTTCCTTCAGAGGAAGAACATTATTGTTAACAGAGTGAATGTAGTATGGAAGAAATACTGAAACTTTGCAAGATATATGCTTGTTTGACAACAAACCAAGTTAGATAATTAAGGCAGTTTCATATTTTATATATATAATATTTTATATTTCTAAACAGAATAAGGAATGATTAAAAATTATTTAAGGAGTTTTTAAAGAGAAAATGTAGAATGGCATAACTGCATGTACAAAAACTATGTCTTCAGCCAGCATAGCAGAATTTACTGTATTTCACAGAGTTGGAATGGCTAGTAAGAACACAAGTACATCCTGGAATGTTTACATTTACAGTAACTGGGAAAAGCAAAAAATTTTAGCTTCAGAGCAATGTTTTTTTTATCTACAGAAAGGTATATTTCTCTGAGGTGTATGGCCAGCTACGTTCAACTGCAAATGTGCTACCTTGTTTCACCATTCCATGGTGGAAATGAAAGGCTAAAGGGGCAGCCAGGGTGCACTGAGCATTTTTATCACAGGACAGTCCTTTTGGGATAGTATATCAAAGTGGATAAAAAAATTGCAGTAAAAACTCATATGTCTAAAATTACTTTTTACTGTTAATTTATTTACTCATTTCTTCTATGAATCCCATGTTGGTTTGCTTTTTTTATGCAACTTGGTACATACTAATTACCTTCAGTATCTTCTTTGATCTGAACAAGATTTATATAATATATATGGCTAAGAACAAGTAGGATATTTAGCAGTATGCATGTTTTTAAGGTTGTGGCTACTTGCTTTTCTAGCCGAACTCCCAAGAACTTGAAAATGCCAAAATCATACTGGGCTGAATTGAAACTGGACCCAAGACTGACTGAAGAGTTGTAGAATATGGATATTTTCTTAATGTGGAGTCAATGGAGCTGTCAGTTTACATTAGCTTAGTATCTGTCCCCCCCAGGGTTATTCCTTTTTTTCTTAAAATACCCTGAAAGTTTTTATCTTGCCATTTCAGCAGAAACTGAAAACTTAAAAAAGTATATGATTACATAGGATGATTCTGTGTTAAGAAATTTCAGTTTGTCCTTTAAAAACTCACAGTCTTAAGTCTGCTTTATATTTTCTCTTGGTCCAGCAAAACAATTACAAATGTCAAGTGCTATTTAATTATGCACTTACAGAAAAGCATGTACTTAAATGTTTTCTTGGATCAGGACCTAGAGACCATATTTGTTTGGAACTGTATGAACATCAGTGCAATCTGAGGGTATTCAACACTATAAAGGATAAGAATCACTTTTCCTTTATTACAGTGTATTTTAGAATGCATATAATTTTAAAGAGTACACTTTTCAGAAGTGCTACTTGTGATTAACTGTGTCCTGAAGCCATGCATAAACGTATTCATAAACCAAAAGCATCACTGCGCCACCTGGAAGAAAAGATATTATTTTATTACATAGAAAATCCAGTGTTTTCAAGATTTTAAAGAGCATTCCTAGTGTAACAAAAACAAGACTATGGCAAAGCCTTTTTTACAGAATGGGTAAGTCTACTATTTCCTGAGTTCACTAAAATTTCACAAATTCATAAACCATACCAGTTTTACTTAATATTAGATCATAAAGTTGATGTAAATAGCTCATATAGATCAAATTCACCCTCAGTGTGATTTTTCCTAATACTTTTTCAAGATTAATGTTTTTATTTGTTCTTCTAAAAATGAAACTTTTAGTCTGAATATACGTGTATTTGGTGGCTGTTTAACAAGATTTGGCCATGAAAGAGCAACTTGACTGGTGGAATGGCAAAAATTAATCTTCAGGATGATAAAAACACTTCCAGGTAAGAGTCAAGATAAGTTTTTACCATGTCTAAAGCAGAAAATCAAGGTGGGGAAGTAAGTATAATCTTTCCTGGCTACAAATCCACAGCTAAAGTTTTGATCTAATGTAATAGCATTATTTGCTAGAATTTGTTACAGTATAAAATCCCAGCTTGAAAGCCATAAAATATCTTTACTGTTAATGAAGCCAGACCATAACTGGGCTGTATTACTGTGTGAGATAAAAAAAGGGGAACATTTCAGAAGGAATATATATAACTAAACACATAGAGAAGCTTCTAGTTGGAGAACATGGATATAGAGAACCAGGCTGCATGAGTAAAAATATATTATTTGTGAATGCCAGCACTGTGGCATAAATATCTTCTTGCCTTTGCCTTTGCCTGTTGGTGCAGTTGGTGGCTTGGAGTGGCACCTCTAACAAACGAGGCTTCTCCTGAACTGGGCTCACCTTTCTAGGGATGGGCTAAGACAACCAGGCACACAGAATTACTACATAAGTTTCTCCATATAATTTATCCTAAGGAACCATTACCAGACTTGAAATTCTCTATGCAAAGGAACTCACAGAAAGCTAGACAGAGCAGATGTTTGCAAAAGGCTTTGACCAACAAACAAATCATAGACACAATGTCTAAGATGTAATTTGAATTCAAATCAAGGCTGATTCCAAATCTCATACTGTGTGACCTGTTTGTGTATCTCTTTTCCTGTAAACACTCACATGTTGGAAGAAGAAAGTACCTTCCCAGTCACAATAAAGACTGTATTATTGTTTCATCAGAAAGTTAAACCTATATGTTAGTTAGCCAATAGAACTACAAAAGTATTTAGAATGAAGTTCACATGTAACTGACTTGCTGGGTGTGGGCCAGAGTGCATAGTCATTTGTAAGATGGAAAATTTTATTCCAAAATCTGCTGTGCTAAGAGGTACTGGGAAAGCTAAACACTGCCTTCTTTTTGTCTTGTATGTAATCTAGTACCTTTGGAGTGTGAGGGAAAAGGCTTTTAGCTACAGAGCTCCTTGTTTCCCCTCCCCACCTTCTTCCTCACCCTGCACAATAACCAGGCACGGTCTAGTACTTAGCCAGATGGAATGGATGTGCAAACATTTACAGACAAACCTAATGCCTCCTTTATACTGCAAAACAGACTCTGTACCTACTTGCTTTACCTATGTGTGTTCTTGCATATTAAACAACCAGCTTGAACAACTGGAAATACAATTTCATGGGAATGGGATACTGTTCAAACTGGGGCTTCTGCTCTTTTTTGACGCACACCGCCTTTGTGGGCTGACAAAGTCTGAGGGCCCAGTGCTTTGCTTTCATGATTAATCAAAACCAGTCAGGAAAAAAAAAAACCTCTAAAAACTAAAGAAGATACAGCTTTCAACCACTGTGCTCTCACATTTGGAGTAACAATTAGTAAGAAAGGATCAAGCAACAATCCCAGTTTTAAGATATTCTTGTCCTCTTAGTTTTCCAGGACCATACAAGTCTCTTCCCAGATCTGCTATCTGCTTTTTAGTGTCTGTCCCTGTAGAGCATAGGAGAAGAAACTAACTGGAATTTGATATGCTTGAGCATTGCCTTGACTAGTTGAGTGCATTTTATGGAGAGACTCTAACCTGCATTTTAGGCTGACTTCACATAGGTATAGAATAGTGCTAAGGAACTCCAAAGGTCACATTAGAAGGAATAGGAAACTTAAAGAAACTTCCAAAAGTTTTACACTTCTGTCATTTGCATGTACTTTGGTTTGTTTATAAACAAAAGAGTTGCACAAACCAGCACTTACTTGGATCTGCAATTCTCTGGTGTATATGTGTAAATTATTTTTTTAGACACATATTTAGCCAAATCCATCTGTGGTACTACTAGGTGGTGCTATTTTAAAAATAAACCATTCAAAGTGAAAGATATTTTGATTAATTTATTTGATATTTACTACATTTTCTCAAGAAACTGAAAAAATGGGAGAAGAAAGCAAGAAAAAAGCAAAATAGAAGTAACAGAAGGAAAATTACCTGGACCGAGCCTCATGATCTTGGGAAGCAAGCCTTTGTACAGAGCCAGAAATCTGTAGCAGAAGAATAACAAACAAAACATTTCAAACAATATTCTTGCTCTAAAAGAAGAACGGAATTGTAGCATATGTTTGTTAAAATGCTGGCAGAGCACTTAGAGGCAATTATTTGAAATTACACATGTTCAATAGCAGGCTGTATCTGGATTTTAACATTTTACAGAGGCAGATCAGATGAAGAGAAAAAGTTAATCAATGTTCAGTCACAAAAGCAATGTTGTGAGCCTATCCAATCAGAAATATGACTTTAATCAGTGAGATGGGTTTACTTTCAAGACAAGTCTGTTAACAACAGCTTCATATAGGGACAAAATGACTGATATAATTGAATATCAAAGCCACAGCTCAGTCACCACTTGAGAAATATTTTTAAAAGTTGGATAACATTATTACCACAAAGATCTGTCCTCAGTTTAATTATTACAGCAATAATTTTAGAGGTACCGAGGCCTGCATAATTAAAATTAGATTAAATTGAGAAATAGTCCTTTTTACGTTCATATTTTCCTTTTACAAAATGAAAAGTTGAAAAATTTACATGAGATATATGAAGCATTTACTCGGCGAACATAAATTTTGACAATGTGATAATAAGTTTGTAAGTCTTTTGGAGAAGTTCATATGTACTAGGAAGATATGTCCTTGTAATTCTAAAATAAATTTTCAAAATGCTACATTGGGCTCTTTTGATAGGTGAGTTCAGGGTGGCTTAATGGTCCTCATCAAATCTGAAATACAACAACATGGTTTTATGGACCCATATGAACTAAAACAGAGATCTGAACATTTTTTAAAATAAGAATGTTTTACCCTTCCTCTTTATAGACTGTTGCCATAGTTTTAAAACAGGTTCTGTACTTGATCTCTCCAGGAACTGGCTGTGGTCCTTGAATCCTACTTTTTGCAACATCAAAAGGAATGTTAATAATTGAGGCTATTGTTCCTGAGACTAGCCCAATTCCAAATTTCCTCAAAAACTCCAAATTTGGATCCTACAAAAAAAAAAAAAAAAAAAAAAAAGAAACAAAGAATAAAAAGGGAAACGGAAAGACCTGTGCAGGTTAAGCACTATAAAGTAATAAGCATTTAATCAGAAAACTCACACAACACACTCGTGTTATTTTAGCGGAACACATTAGGATTTCCTACGCTGGAACTTGTTTTTTTGACAATCCTATTGGCTATGTTTTTACACATGGTCTAAATTGCTGAAGTACACATTTCCTCACACAGGATTTATAAACACAGTTCATAAAGAAAGACTGGTATGGCATATGGGGATGATTTGTATAATTGGGCTTCACAATGTACTTAGTATTACTGTATCAAAACAGGAGAAATCCAAGCACACTATTAGCTAATTGGCCAGAATATTTTACAAATGACAGCAACTTCCACCATGAAGCCTACTAAAACACTCATTTGTGTGTTGGACCCCCAAATGCTAAATTAAATAAAGACTAATCTCAGTCTGCTGCCATTCCCCTCCAGGTTTTTTACATTTATTTTCACATGTAGCTGATCCACTGTACTGAGAAGTGCTAGCTTCCTGTTATTAACAATCCAACTCGGCACAACGGCAAGAGAGCCTCCACGTTCTGTGCATTATAAACGGTGGTAATTCACTCAGCTAATTGGCTGAAGAATTTACAACAGATTGTTTCTGAACCCTACTATATGCACACTGTTAAAGTTAGAAGTAGATTAGAAATGCATCTAAAAACTTCTTTGCTCACTCACAGTTCACAGTTCAACTGGGTTTTATTTGATCTTTTAGAAAGACCTCCTACTTTGGCATTTCAATGACATCAAAGAACCCAGGGTTTATCTGGGAGTCAAAGTTCCTTGAAGCAGGTTTAATCCTATTTCTCTAAGTAGTGGACGTCACAGGCAAGTGTGTTTCAGAACATTTCCTATTCATATAATTTAGTTTTGCTATAGGTTTTTAACAGGACACTTTTTTGCTACATCAGATTCTTTATATGCAGCTTACTTTTGTCATGAAGGTGCTTTAGTTATAGAAAATCATCATTAAAATAACAAATGATCTTGTCATGTTATAACATCAGCATAATGTTAAAATAAGACAGTTTTTTGTTTCCTAAACATGTATGTTCTTAAATGAAAAAGAAACTAAGAAAGAAGTTTTCGTTTCCAGATTAGCAACAAGAAAAATAAATTAAAACGTCTATAATATACATTGGATGAAGCCCATACAGGTGTTAAGAAAGAAATGTCAAAATCAACAGAGCTCTTTATTACTTGCAGAAAAACTCATGCCTTGATTTCACAAAACATGAAACATACTGATAATAACTTAAAAAAATAGAATCACTTGTCATCCAAGAATTGTAGCTCTTTTTTAAGCAAAGATCTTAGCAAAAAAAAAAAAAAAAATCCATTGATTCTGTACATACAGTGATTTAAATGCAAATGGAATAAAGCCAATGTTTCTAGTATCTAGAGAAGAAAAGAAGACCCCTTTTGCCCATTCACAAAACTAGACTCTGACCAAATGTACAGTTGTCAATGCCAGCTTTTCTATAACTTGATTTTTTATCATAAACTTCATGGGAAAGATTTTTCTATGAAAGCCATTGATGTAATACCTGGATAATTTCATTAGTATAAAGATTCAATATAAATTTAGGTGTCAAAAATTAAAAGTAATTTTTTTCTAAAAGCTGAGCTTAGCGGCTCTGAGGTTATTCCACTACTCCTTCTGATTCCGTCTTCTTCTAAATCACCTTGGCATACTAGTTCTTCCAGTCCATTGCACCACTTCCACTTTCCACTCTCTCTTCCTACATAAAACTTCTATGTTGGCATGGATCTGAAAGCTACTAAAATAAAACTATTGTCTGCTATTTTACTTACTCACCAAACTGAACAGACTATTTGGGTTTCCCATCTCTTCTTTGCCTGTGGATGTTCAGAGCCCCTTTCAAGACAATGCGCTGCTCAGTGCCCTGGTCTGATGCAGCAGCCCTTGTAACAGGAGGCACATCTGCAGTGGCTGGGGCTGGCAGTGCCCAACTTGAAATGAGTCCTGCAGTTGGCCACATTTCAAAGAGGGCTTTTAACTGGTGTGAGGAAATTTCATACTGCTGAGAAATGTGGCAGCCACTTGGAAGTGGTAGTGAGCAAAGGTTTTAATGAAGCTAATGTTGAAAAGCAAATCTAATTATGATAAAAATTGCAAAGTGAAGGCTGCTGGACACCTATCAAATGCATTATAAAAGTAGATGCCATTTGAAAAATAATTTCATTGATGGGGTAGAGGCATAGGTGCTAATTCTCTATGGTTGGTACATTAATGGCCACTGAAAGAAATCTGGCTTATTCCATTTTCAGTAAACAAAGCACAAGGTTGGCTGTAAATGATCTGTTTAGCAGAATGGACTGAAGGTATGAAAAATTATTCATTATGGACATTTACAACCCACACATGTCATTGATACCATTTGACCACTCAACCTACAAGATTTATTGTTTTTGGCAAAATAGGCAGCAAACATCCCTAACTGGGATGCAAATGTAATGCATGATTTAACTGACAGCTAAAAGGCTCATTCAAAGATTTTAATACATTTTCCACTTATGTTACAGATGATGGACAGCAAATACATAGTCAATAGTCAAAATTATTTCCCAAGTGTAGTATTCTAATTTTTATAATTTATAATTTTTATACATTATAATTTTTATGTAATTGTCAATATGACAAGACTGGCTTTAAGACATTATTTTCTGGCAAAATATACAAAGTTAACAAACTAGATTTTGTGATGAAATCAAGTATGTGAGAAATCTAGACAAATTAAGAACTCTTTAATATTTTTCAGACTAACTACAAACCAACTTCTACCAAATTCCTTCTACAGGTTTGATAACTCTAAGACTCTAGTACCTGCCCACTGACAGAAGAGATTTGTTACAAGTCATAAATTATTGTCAAATATTTCCATTTAGCAGTCACTGAAGTGAAATTCAATGCACATAAGTACCTGAGACATAATGTTGGCTAGCACCCGCCAGATGAGGCCTGATCTATGTCTTAAATTCAGAGTGAGTTTTGCATTGATGTTAATGGGAGTTTGATCAGAATTATTGGCTATATCTCTCTGTATAGTCTGTCTATGGCACTGATGCTGGCTGGCCTAGAGAGTCCTGTTAGCTTTATTAGCACTACAGAATGCTATCACCATTCAAAGCAGACTGCCTGCATGAAGCCAGCCCATTAGCAAGGGCTCCTTGCCTTCGCTGGTTCCTAAGTCACACCCAGGAACTGTGCTGGCTGGCCAGGGCCAAAGCTGCGCCAGGGAATGTTTAACAGCACAGGTGGCTGAGTTTCAGCATTGCCGCTCCATTTACTAGCACAGATGTAGCCACTGTGCAAGCCACCATGTAAGGCACTGTGCACTGGTTAGGCACCAGGCAAACCTCTCCAATTATTTGCAGTTAATCCCACACTGATTAAATTGCTTTTTGATTTTGCTAATATTTGAGGACAGCTGGGCCACCGGCTGACATTGAAGTGTTTTCCCTTTTGTTTTCTACATATATTTAAACCCATGTTGTAGATGTTAAAATTTTTCTGCATTATACAAAATCTGTATAAAGTTCTAATTTCCTTTAGATCATAAAGCTCTGAATCTTTCTAATAATGTAATACTTGTTTCCTATTTTTTGAAATCTGAAAGGCTAGGAAAGCATACTTATGCCAAATACTATTACTATTCAATTCCTATGCAAGAACATTTCCCATGATTCCCATAGAAGCTACACACTAGTCTCTGTCCTTACCTGCATATTTTCCTGAATTTTCCTGAATTTTCTGTATAGTGATTATAATTTGTTAATCTTTTGATCAACACAAAAGTGTTTGCTCCCATCTTAGTAACAAGCTGTGCCTGTGCCTTGAATTTTTGGAATGTGTGACTAAAGTACACTGTAAAATATGCTTAGATACACTGTAAGAAACTTGTAGAAACTTGTGGGTCAGCTGCTCTTGAACAATTCAATTTACTGTAATAATCTGCAAATAAGAAGTGGAGGTTTTCTCCATTTACACAACGCTGCCAACAAAAATACCAGGCTACTCAGAAGTGCAGAAAAAAAAAGAGGTGTTACTTCATATGGGAATAGAAACCGATCCCTTTTGATGTGAATGGCACCTTCTTACATGTATATCACTACATATTACACCTGTGACTGTTTTAACTGTCATCATGTAAAGATCACATTAGTGAAAACAGACTTCAATAAGTAGCATACTGGAATCATTAATAAACCATTAGTTTTTTCTCACACAGTCATTTAGAAAGTTGCTGATATAACCACGTTTTCATTCGTAAAATTTCCTTTTGTTGTAGAGGGAATGTTTGCTTCCTTTGTTATTTAAAGTAATATAGGACTATCAAAATTCTTTAAGTGAAATTACAGCTATAATGATTTTTTTCTTTAATTATAAATTACATAAAGTCCCTGTGTGTGACTCTTTACATCCTGTTTTGGACTGTCTCTCTCCCATAAGGATGAAACTTCCCTGTCATCCTTCAATACTAGGTTGAACTCTCTTTTGAGTAAATAGGTCCAGTGCCTGTCCAGAATAACCTACATCCTTCAGCTCAGCCACCTCTGCAAGCTTAGCCCCTATGTGAATACTGACAGAAGTTCTAGAAACTGATTTTTCTCTTCTAAGCCAGTTTGCCACAAAAAAATTGCTTACATACCCAACATAAGCACAACATGTCTGTATCTAATTTGCTGCCTTTTTGCACTGCTACCCTATAAAGGGACATTCATAAAAACAATAATTCAAATATGACTACACTCAACATTGCTTAAAAAGTGAGACGATCGAGTCCTTAATTTGCTTCCATTAAAATGCTATGGATTTCTGCAAGACAGAACTAGGTTAGTCACTGTTTATCACTAAATACCACAGCTTTGCACATAAAAATAGGGTGTGAATAAAAATGTCAAACTTCTTATCTGATTGTCTATTGCATTGTATGAAGAACTTACGTTATTGACTGGAAGAATGTTTTTCACATTGAAGTAGAATCCAAAGTAAACCATGTTAAAAACTCCGTGACGGCCCAGTGTTGCAGTAAGGCCTTTGTTGAGTCCTTGGAAGCCCAGACCACCGCTTTTAATGATCTGCTGAGCTTGAACAAAGCTAGATGGTTGCTACACAAGTTAAGCAAAAGAAGGAAGAGATCATCTTTGCAAAAAGAAAACAATAAACATAGCATCATTTCCATGCTGTTGACAAACACAGTGTTCCCAATTCTTGTAATTTTATAATAAGGATCATCATATTTGTTATTTTCTCTTTCCTGTGACCAAAAACCACAACTTTAATTAAAAAAAGATTCCTCATTTTTCTGATTGCAGAATAAGATGAAAGCAGGACTTGAATACTGTAAAAGAATAGTACTGTAACAGATTCTCATTTCATAAAAGGCAAAAAGGAAGAAACTCCCTCATATCAGACAGAATCTGCCTGACTACATGCACCTTTGATCTTTTTTTGAATATACAATGATATTCAGGATTGCCTATTCCCCTTCTGAATACTTTACATTTTTTAGTAGCCTTATAGAAATATTACTTTCAAAAAGTGGTTGAATACAGTTTGGCTTTCTCCAAAGCATAAAGCCAAAAAAAGCCATGAAGCCATAAAGCTCTGGGTAATCAAATCTATAATTAGAAAGGCAAAACATGACTTCCACTAGGAGGTTCAAACATGAAAATATAGATGAATTTTGACTACACCAGTATGAATACCACTAATTTCAATACACTTATTTGTTTAATAGTTTTCCATTTCAAAATATCACTGTGGTAGATCAACAGCATCAGACAAATGATGCTACTATATCTGACCCAGCATATGACTGCTTTTTTAGGTGACCAATGAGCTTAATCTTTAATACAAAGTTTCATTCTGTTTTTTCATATTTCACAACTAATATTACCCTGTTAATGCTCGCCATATATTTTATTAGAGTTTACTTTTCTATCTACTCCCAAGAGTTCAAGTCAGAATCTGTTCTAAAATGGAGATACTAAACATGGATACTAGCAATAACATCCTTTTTTGTGCTCCAAAATGGACATTAGGTCTTTAAGAAATAATACAGCAACCTTCAATATTAAGGTATCCCTTAGTATCCCTTGTCTTGAGTGTGGATTTACTCATGCCTCAGAGGGGAAGCCTATCATTTGCTGAACATCTGAGGTGGGATTAATAAATCCAAATATAGACACATGCAATGTCTACACCTGACTTCCCTTTTCAGTCCTTTAGTAACAAAGAGGACTCTTTGGCAACACTTCCCTTTTACCAAAGGAGGTGTCATCATGTCAACTGATCAAGCCATAGAAGGTCTGCGGTTCATCATTGATGATGGAAGGACCTTAGACAGAGGAATTTATTGTACAAACATCTGGAGTTAATGCACTTCACACAGCTGTTGACTCTTACTTAATATAGACCTGTTCAGTGGAATCTGGAGTCAGATTCTTCTCATCATATGGCAGAAAATTGTATTTGTTTAATTAATCATAACTCTTATGTCAGGTGAGAAGATTTTCATCATCACACCAACTTCTATAGCCAGTGAGTTATCCAGTGCCACAGGGAAAGGGAAAAAAAAAAAAGGAAAACGAAACAACATAGTGTTGGACTTCTTGCAGTCTACTTTAACAAAAAAGCCACCATTATTTTTACCCACAGCAATCCACATTACAAAAGGGCTGATACGTGATTTATAGTGGCCTTCCTCTTTAAATCTATCAACCCTGGAAAGATGATCTGCTACCACAGAACAATTCAGCTGTCACCGCAGGGTGTGAATATTTGCTTTGGGGGTGTGCTGGAGTCTGGGTGTGAGTGTATGTGCTCATGCTCTTCCTTGTTCCTTTTAAACAAGATATATTTATTATTTCTATACAATAGTCAAAGAACTATGTGAACTGCTTTAGGTTTCATCATGTAGTATGAAAGCTCCACAATGGGATAGGTACACACTTTACTTAAACCTTTTAGAAAAACAGTGTATGGTAATGCCTTATGCTGTATAATATAACCTCTGGACATGCTTCTTCCAATGGGCTTGAGTTTACATGCTTTATTGTGGAATGTTCTTTAACATTTTCTTAAAGAGAACTTGATGTCAAGGTATTAAGTCACTGGAGTTTTTTCTAATTTACAGCAAATTTCGAAGCTTTAACACTTTAGAAAGATATATTAAAAATTAACATCTGTGATATAACAATCTTTGTGATTAAAGAACTTATTTTATCTTGGATTTTTCTCCCTAGAGCAAGTAGGTAATATTTTCAATGTAAACTAGGTTTCTAGTAGAGTCCAAATACCATTCTGTCACCATTTTATTTGTTTAATAATATACTATTATTTGAATTTTGTGAAATTTTGCATTTAAATTAAATTAGAGAATATTCACCTGAACAAAAACAACTCAGAATGATTTTGGACAGCTACAGTTTGATTATTGTATTATTCTGAAGGTCACCAAGTAAGGGATTCTGTAACTAAAGGAAATAATTGGCTAAAATTTACAAACTAAACCACCCTAGACTTTGTTATAAATTTTGCAGTAGAGAAAAAAGTAAAACATATGAAGGGAAAGGATACATTGGTCATTTGCAACTTTACAAGGAATAGTTTGTTCAAAATATAATGGTGGTTTATTTATACTTAAAAGCAGAGGGTTTTTAAAGCTAGGATAATTACATCTTCACAACTGTGAAGCAGAAAGATCCAGAATATCTGCTTAGTTCACTTAGTTCACTACTGCTGGAGCAGTTCATAATTTTTATCACATCATCTTCTTGAGAGACAGATCCTCTGACACATTGCTTTTTCCTACTTTCAGTCTCTCTCCTTCCAGGATCCTAAACATTTTACTCCTGCTCTGCAGTATTTGTCTGTTTAGTGGCTTTGCTGCCCAAGTTTAAAAATTGTCTAGACTGGGGACTTGCAGCAAATAAACATATCTTTCATATGCATTAAGAATCAAACAGGAGTTTACCAAACATTTTAAAATTTATTCTGGAAGAAAATGCTTTTCTGGGTGACTTATGGAGTAGGAACCAATTACTTTATGATATTTGGAAATCAGTAGCTGTATTTTTCCAGAGTGTACCTGAGGAACTTGTCCCAACAGATTATGTAAATGGTCAGGCCATAAATCTCTTTACTGTGCACCCCCCAAAACTGTTCAATTTATGCAGAGGAGCGCTACAAGGCATGCAAGTACTAACTCAGTCAAAACATTATAGTAGAATATGCAAAAATCATGTCCCACCAGGGATTCAGCCAAGCTTTTCATGTGAATGCTTATATGACTTGGTACTTCTACCACGGTACAGCTCATTTCTCAAAAGATTTCTCAAAAGATGGTATGACAATTTTTATTTTTATTAAATGAGAAAAGGAAAAAGGAACTTCATTACTGCCTCCCTTCCTTTTATCCTGGAACATGTTCTGCATTAAAATTAATAGAAGCTTGTGCATTCCTGAGAACACTTGATTTTCATGAATCACTGTTTTCCAGTTTAATATTTTTGCCCTTTCAGCAGTACCCAGAGTCATGGACAATGTTTTGTACAATGACTTCTTTGGACAAAACAATATTTGAGTAACAAAACTCTGAAGTGTAGCAAGAATTTAAATTATCAATGTACTTGTTATATAACAATTTTCCAGTTTGTGCTAATAAAAGTGAAGTCTTGTAAGTAATTTCATCCAAGAAACATTGCATAAAATACAGCAGCTGGACTCTGTCTAGGGCACAGGGCCATGGTGTTTTATGCTAACCTTCAGTGCTCACTTGAAATCTGGAGCCTGCTGGGGTAAATGTGCTGTGTCCAAGGGGCTGAAATTTGTACTCCTGGATTACAATTCCTCACAGTGCTGGGTTGCTGGCCGCTTGGGAGAGATGAGGGTGCATTTCAGGCACAGAATATTTACAGGGGAGATGCTGATGCCTCTGACAGTACTGCATGCATCTCTGCATATCTGTAGACATTGTCTATTGGGTCTCTTCCATTTCTGTTGAGCTTGTGGGGAAATAATTTGCATCCACCAATACATTATAGACATTCTGCTCTAAATATGAACCCCAAAGTGCATTTTGCTCAAAAAAATGGAAAAAGGAGAAGGAAGCAGTTTTCCTACCTCTGTGAAGGCGTTCTGATTGGTCTGTAAGGTAACCTTCACTACTTCAAATGGGTTAACCACAACTGCCTCTGTCAACCCAGATCCCAAGCCAGCAACTGCAAATGCCTAGGAAAGTTTAAATGAAAATTGAGTATTAAGGAGTAATACTTCCTCTACATCAGATTATGAAACCAAGGGACACAATCCAAACTGTAAAACTACAGTAATGCAGCAGTATTCTATTGCTAAACAACTTGAGCCCTTGATAGATGCTGACAGTTCATGAAGACAGTATGACAATAGCCATAAACCATATTCCAAAACAATCAAACCAAAATACCATAGCATTCCATGTCCATGTATTCTCTTTTCAGCTGGAAGGGAAAATATGGTACCAAATGATTATGCAAACATGGAAAAAGTGGCGAAAGAATGTCCTCATGTTATCATTGGGTGAACTCTGAATAATAACACAAATATAAGTGCAGTTATGCAGCACTAGAAAAAATAAAATCTCTGAACTGAGCATTAAGCACATAACACTAACATATTACCTTAAAATACATGTAAACAACTAAAATAGTTCAGTACTTAAGCAAATTGCACAAGTAGAAGTTCACCTAGTAGTTAAAAATCCTAGAAACGTTTATACGGGCATGAGTGGCACATGGGGAAATGTTCATTGCAAGGATGAATTAATTCCATTTACTCAGAAGCTAGTGGCATTTCAGTTATAGATATGGAGATATTCACTGCTTTGCTTTCCATCATGGCACAGCATTTTAAGATACCTTAATTTTTTAAAAGAAAAAATAGTATTAAAATATTTAGGTTAATTGAGAAAGTTCAGAGGGGTTAAATTTAATGACCACTTCACACATTTACTGCCTTCACTTAACATCCCCAAACTCTCTAGGTGCTGAAAAAAGTCCCAGGACCAAAATACATTATAATGAATCCATTTGCTAAAATTCAAAGAAACCAATAGTAAGGGAAAAAACAAAAGTGAGAAAAAACTTACTTAACGCAGAGGGATTTGAGCAAGGACTCCTGAGAGCTCAAGAAAGACAGGAAGGAAAAGTTAGAAGGGTAGTGACAAAAACCAGTTTTACTGCCTTTGGAGTGTGTTACTAAAAAATTGATTTTTCCAGTAAGATGGGAACATTTCATCATCAACAACAAGACTGAAGCCAGTAGGAAGATGGTGCTGTATGTATGCATCTGTCTTTTAATAATAAATTGATATGAGGTCTGTTGAAGTACCTAGAAACATTCTGCCTGGCTTAGATCAGGATGCCCCTCAGTCTTTTTCCCTCTCACTACCTTAGGACCAAAAATGCTTCTACAGTAACAGTACTGCACCAAAAATGTGTGCGATTTCTGATTGTTCTAAGCTTTGCTGTATCTGTTCTGTGAATCACAGCAGCTTCTGGGCAGCTTGCAAACATGCAATAGTATGTTTACAGGTTTTCAGCCTATTTTTCTTTCTCCCAAAAAAGTGCTGGGGTACCATAGAACCTTCAACTCTGTTCTTTCCACTTGCTAGAGAACAAGTATCAGTCTTCCTATATACACCTAAGAATGTGCACTGCTGAAAAATACCAGATAAAACAGGAGAGAATGCAAACAGCTATAGGGCCAGTGGAATAATTAAGAGGAAGAGGAAACTTGCTTTAACCTAGTTAATAGAATTCTATGACCATTCACTCACTGCAATTAAAGGGAGATGTAACTGGAAGCAATACTCTTTAAAAAGAGACTTGAAATTACCAAAACCTTTATAGCACAGCCTTAAAAAGATCAATTGTTTCCTAAAGTTGTGATTTCATCATAATGAAAAATAGATATTTACTATGATTTACATTCTTACACCACAGGAAGCAGTAGCTCTTATAAAAAGTATTTTACTCCTAATGCACAATAGCAGAATTAAGATCTAAACATGAGAATGCAGATTACACATGCAAGCTATATCTTTGCATTAAAACATTTCTGTGTATCTGTATGCCCTGCATTTTGTTTTTAAACCAGTTATTTCTCAAGATTAATTCCTAACTCCACTAATGGACAAGAGAGTTTTGCCATTTACTTCAAAGGAAGTAGCAATTTCTTACCAATAACTTATGTTTCTTTCATAAAATTTTTAAAATAAGACTGAGATCTGTATGTATTTTTTGCTACAGTTGTATGGTGCCTTGGAGAATAGCACTGTGAGGTTGAAGTGTTAAACTAGACATGATGACATGAATAAATAAATATTGATAATGTTTCACTTTTTTCATAATTTTGTAAGAATGAAGAATGACAAGCTGTATACTGACTTTTTCATGGTAGCTGTTGTTATCCATGTTCATGAATGTTATGATGTTGTAGGGAATTATTTTGAGGACATTTGATATAAAACATAACTTAAATAATTTTTGATATATTCTTATCAATATTTTCTTATCAAAGGACAAGTCTGTTTTGAAAAACTCTGGATTGAGCTGGACCCTTTAATTTTGGGCTTCTTCTATGGGAGGAAGCAGATGAGACAGACTGTTCAGCAGACACATACTACATCACAACATAAAGTTCTGTATCCATACATACCAGTCCTGGTGGCAATGATGCATATCCCAGTAGCTTCTTGTATTGTTCAAAGGTAAAAAACTGTGAATAGAAGTTAGATTGAAATTGAACTGAAAGAAATTATTAGTTACTTTTACAAATTAGTAAAAAGCAGACTACAATGGAGTTTCACTACCTCATATCCTGAGCAGCTACACACAGTTCTGCAAAATAAATGTAGCCACTTTTATTTCACACTCTCTGTAGCACAGAGTTAGATGTGCAAGAGTAGACAATCAGGCTTTGGAACTGATTTAATTAGTGTTTCATGCATAATAGCAGGATAAGTGCAGTTCAAGTAATGCTTTATCTAAGAGTTCACTTACATCATATAGGACCTATTTTAAATACATTTTTATAAACTTTTCTTCTAGCATTAACTTTCATAAACTAGTTTAAATGTAGTAGCGGATATTACAATTTTGCCAAGAAATCACCCCCATGTCCTTAATGTAATGTGATGAAATTGCTTTTGCATTTCTCAAACACTAGTCTGCTTCTCATCAGAAAGATAAAATTGTGGATTTTGAAGATGGAAATTCTGCCATTTTTATAATCTTCTACTGTCAACAGGCACATTTCTTTTCCTGTTCTTTCTTTACAAATGAATATTTCATTCAATTGTCTGCTTTCAGTTATGCTTCAAATTTCTGAGCATCTGCAATCCCTTAGAGGATGTCTTGAAGGCCTGTACTCATGGGTTTGAATCTAAAGAAAAAATTAAAATCAGCTTCACCTGCACCAACATGGTGAAAGGCAACCATTTGCAAATGGCTCTCTTTGCAACTGACCATATCTTGACACTCAAACCCACTAGTTTTAAGAATACCTTCTGTGAATTCTTATAAAAATCAACGCATAATAAATGAATAGATTTGTTCTTCCCAGAAGAAAGTTTAGAATAATTCTGATTGCACTGAAGACAGGAGGAAGCTTCTTGTTGGTATAGACAAACAGACTTTCACTGCTTAGCTCCTTGTAAGTCTAAGATGCATGGGTCAAGATATACTCTAGAGAAAGAGTATGTGTGACATTTTCAAATTATTGGGAAGATGCCCTCTGAAATACAGTACACAATCGAGGCTACTATTTAAAAAACAACTCAGACTACATCATATTCAAAACAGGGTTATCCAGACCAGTAAGGAGAACGTAGAGATTATTTTAAGAATGGAGACTGAAGGAGAGTAACTGCTTTCCTTGTTTAGTTTGCAAAAGAGACATTGCAAGAGAATGAAAAACAAGGAAGATATGTAACATAAAGAAGTTAGGTGTAAAAGCAAAATATACTCATAAGTAGAATGTGGCTGGAGATCTGATGAAGCTTTCTTGCAACTAAAAGAGACCTGAAACAGTCTTCCAATAAGAACAATCGGGGAAAAATTCATTATGTTTGAAGGTAAGAGTTTAATAAGTTTATGAAAGAGATTATAGAGCAAACCCCATAGTGTCTTAAATTCATATTCTGCAAACATGCTACTTAAGCCACTGAACAAGCAATCCAGTTGCTATCACATAAGACAGATCTGAGTCCAGTGAAAATGATCTAGCATGAGGATGGCAGAAATGATGGACTAAAAAGAGTAGGTATCTGAATTCTAGGTAACACCAAAAATATTGGAGGTGTTATTCCACATAATTTTCACACATGGACCAACGCAAGGGCCCTAACCCCAGCTTGCTATTTGTGAGTCCTGTAATCTGTCTAAGAAATATTCACATCTTTGCATGCAAAATAAAGAGGCTTTTACACAGCATATCAGGTATGACAGGAATGAAGAACAAAAACTTGTCACAGTTCCACCAAGACTGCATCAGTACAGGTTCATATCTCCTAGTACAAGAGCTGTCACATCCCAGTCTAGCAAAAGTAAATAGCCAGGACTTTTAACTTTCCTGTCTGTTTTCCAATGTTGACCTGTAACATTTGATTAGTTCAGAGCAAGCTGGTTCAAATGCAGGTGGGATCCTTGGAAAGTCGGGGAATTCTGTGACCATTGTCTCCACACAGCATCCACTGATGCACGAGACAAACCAAACTGTTTCACCACAAGAGGAAGGCAATGAGCCATGAGGCAAATGGAGATGTGGGAATCATAAGAAACATAAGGGAATAGAGTTTTTAAGATGAGAAAGATTGTGTGGCCTGTGCTGAATCTCAGCCAAAGAAGACAAGCTCTGTCCCTCACGGTTCAGTGCTACAGACCTATTAGAACAAAACAGCTATTCCATAAACCACGTGTACAGGAACATAAGTAATAAGCAGCACATTTTCATTTGAACTTGTTTAGAACCTTGTCCTATGGCAAAGTCAATAAAATTTTTCAATCAAGACCTGCTTCAAATAAAAAGTCACTGGAATTATACCAAAACCATTGGAGAATTGGGTGTTAATGTGTTAATAATGCCTCTGTCTTAAAGCAAGAAGGAATCTGTATACATAAGCAAAATTGGGTTGTTAAATTCTGGAAACTGATGGGCTGATACTCTGGTCACTGGATGGATTTTTTTTTTTATATCCTCAGTTGGGATTACTGTATCATTTTACAGAAAAGGTCCTAGAACTGGGACCCAGATTTTGACTGCCCTCCAAAGAGTGTAAAGATTGAACATTAATCTTGCAAGCATCTTGCAAATATGTTTAAAATTTTTGCATTGGCCTTGACAATAACCAAAAAAGATTGAAGTGTTACTTTAGCTCTATCTTTTTGAAGGTATAATAAAGGTCTAACAAGGTGGGAGGGTGAGCTGCTTCATTGAACTAAATTAATTTCTTATTGTGATAAAATTTGCTTTATTCTCTCTCCAGCATCTTTCTAGACATTGTTACCCTCTTAACCTTTAATGGAATTTCTGGTATTCCTTAATGTTTTCCATAGTGTTACAGATCTGTAAAATAGTTGTAATAAAGGCAGAATTACATTACCCAGCAATTTTTTTGGTCTTTAAAATGTTACCTTAAAAATCAATAGCTTCCTAGAGTCATAAATAAAATAACTACTTAATAGTAACTATGCTTTAAATAATTTTTAAAAGAAAAAAATCTATAGCAATAAAATTTAATAGAAATGTTGCTGGGTGTACTAGAGTGGCTAGTATTCATACAATTTTTCAAGAAACAAATATTTCATACTGTATCATATGACTTTATATATGTCCATCCAAAATGTTTTTAAAAACACAGCATAATATGTCTTTTCCTCTACAGTTGTATTAAGTTAATAGCTTTGTACAAAGAAAAAAATTCTCAGAATAAACGTATTTAAAACATGCTTTTGTGTATATAGTAACCAATATTGTCCATCTGGCAAAGATACACTTTAATTGAAGTTACACAGAAAATAGCCACAGTACTTACCAGATGTCTCAATAACTCTAAGATAAAAATATATGCTTGAAACAAGATGTCTGGGAACACATGAGCAATATAAATTTGCCCCAAAAGTTCATCTGTTAACCATTGTATTGGCATCATCATTTCTTTCCTCCAAGTTCAATCTAACAGAAAGTTATAAACTTTGACTTTTCATCTTCCAGAAATACCAGCTTTCTTTTTAGAAGGGAAATAAAAAGAGAGAAAAAAAGAAATAGCAAGACAGACATGAGAACATAGTTGACTAAAAATGAGGCTGTATCTTCAACACTTAACTGAAAAACTGGGGATAAATAATTTCACTTTAATAGCTTTATTTTTACTTGCAAAAATACACACCAGATAAATACAATGTTTCAGGAACATTTCTTAGTACAAAATCTCCCCTTTCTATTCTCTACACACTTTTATGACACTATAACTAGAAGCTTTCAAAAAACTTCATTACAAACATAAAAAGAAGCTACTGGAACCTAGAGAATGCCTCTTTTCCTTTTGTACTTTCTCAAATCTCAGAATCATTGGCCTGAATCTCACTAGTCATTTAGGCAGTGGAGAAGGGACAGCTTGAGGCTTATTTAGCTGAGGAAAACTATTAGAAGAATAAAGGTTGGAGGGTGGGCCAAAGGAAGCAATGACTTAAAATAGCCAAATAAGGTTAGTGGAAATCTGAGATAGGCTGGATTCTCTTCAGGTCATAGCATGGGTACGTAAAAATTCCACTTTGAATGCTAAAAATTGTACTGGCATATGACATCTTATATTGAATTGTTTAATTATACAGGTTCTTACAAGGACCTTATTGTTCAGCCCTGTGCTGTCACTGAATTCTTCTAATGTAGAATACAGCTGATGTCTCAAAAAAGTTATCTTGATGTCCTTGGAACAGGAGTAAATTTAAAGGAATAGTAAAATATAATATAGTAAATAATAAAAGAAATCAACTATTTAATTAAAATCCTCACATGTTTAGCATTTAAGGTTGATTCTCATGTTTACAGAAAACTCAGCTCTCACATAAATGTCCAAGAACTTGGTAGAAAGAATCCCACGAAGAGAGGACAAGTAAGACATTAAAGGGGCCTGAGCTTATGATGTACAAGAGTTTGAGAGAATTGAGTCTGTTTAGCCTGGAGACAAGAAAGCTAAGGTGATTTAAGTTCTATCTTCCACCATCCAAATTTTATACAGGAGTCAGATTTTCTCAGAGGCTGACAACAGAAGCATGAGAGGCAGCACACAAAGGTTGCAACAGGAGGATTTGGGCTGGGTATAAGGCAAAATTCTTCACAGAGGAGGAACACAGAGAAGCTGCAGTCTTCATCCTTTAAGATTTCAAAATTCAACTAGACAAGGCATCTCAACATCCTGATCTAACCATGAAGTCAGCTCTGCTTTGAACAGAGAGCCTTCCCAACTTAAAATATTTTTATGATTTTATACTATATTGAATATCATGGGGTTTAAGCCAATTTAATAAATTTGAATAAAGGAAAGTGATTTGAAGTTTATGAATGACTCAAATTGGTAGGAGAAATCAAATGGGTTATTATTTTAACTAAATACATGCTGGAATCTAAAATGCACAGATTTCCTTTATCTTGTTTCAAATGAAATTCAATCGAGAGACAGAGGAAACATCACAATATGAAGAAAGCAAGTTATTAGGAATCTTCTAAATATTACCCATCTATTCTTCACTGCCACTTTGCCATTAAATAGGACTTTAGTTTTCCTTGTTTTATTAAATAATTTTGAGATAAGCGACATATGTCACTTGCATCTAAAATGCCAGTGCAAACATGAAGATGACATTACCAGAACTCCTTTAGGATTCTGTTACAAGGTCACATCCTGTCACTTTATACAAATATTATTCCTCTGTAAAGGAATTGGAATGTGAATGATTAATTGCAGACTAAGGACCAGAATCATATGCAGCCTTTTTAGAAAGAAAAAACAAAAATAAAGAAAGGAAAATCAAGACATTCTGTATAATAATTGCTTTTAGACATATTTGGTTCAACTATGGAAACTTCAAAGTTCTGAAGTCAAAGAGTAAGAAATATTTGCTCATAACACAATGGCTACTTTGATAGATTTAGAACTTTAGAATGATGTGCTTAATAATTAGGTTTTAATTAAAAAGGTTGAACGGCTCAACTGAAAAAATTGATGTATTGAAGTATCTTGCTTAGTAATGTTACTAAAATCCTGTTCTACAAATCAAAATAAAGGATAATAAAAGAAAATCAGATCAGCATTTGGCAGAAAATACACTTCGATAGGCAAGTATCTATAACTGCAAGAGAGCTGGAGTAAAATGTTTTTCACAATAAGAAGTTGTATCCATGATGATTTTCAATCTCTTAAACAGATAGGCTACAGAACAGAGTGCCCTTTGGTGCACAAAAAAACTCTGGGCAGCACTTCAAACCTACTAAATAAGTACTTATTAGTGGCTTCTTTAATGGCTTCTTGTGTTAATTTATTAAGCTGTTAGTTGTTTTGCAAGTTGTTAGGCATTTTCAGTAAAACGAAATATGTAAACCAGAGGCAATTATGAGGCAAAAATATAACTTAAAATATTTTATTCATTCTGTCAATAGAAAATAATTACAATTTTTTTTTCTCAGTAACATTTGATACACAGGTCAAAATTAGCTTAACATTTACGAGCCTTAGCCTACACTTCTTAATCAAGGACAGTTTTTATTGTGCTATCAACAGAAAACTTTCCTCCTAGTAAAAATCAGAGGATTAATATGCCAAATAAGTTTAAGATTCTAATCTCAGTCAGTGGGGGAGAAATAAAATGTTTTACAGCTGCCACTGTCCCCAGTTATGCTTTTAAGGGAGGAAGCGTGGGGTTTTTACCTTCACTGCCCTTTTGGGTGTCTCAGCCAAGACAGGAGGAAGTATTCCTTTGTAGAAGCCAAATAATCTATTGAAGAAAAAAAAGAAATTATTTTTATATGGATAAACAATCTATCAATACCATACTACCAACTCTATTTTTTCATTTGAGTAAAGCAGCTAATCTTTCAGCATTTCCAGGCATACAGACAAATAATGATACTCTCTGCTTACTTGTTAAACAACTACTGTGCTACCAATTATATGCTGGTGAGATGATATAAAGAAATCAGCAATGAATATGTAAAAATTCAATCAATTTTTTCTGAAATACAGGAAATTGTATTTAAAAAGTGGGGAACATTTTTGACAATGAAAAATAAGTATTATTCCATTGTTTTAATTTGCTTAGCACAGCAATGTTTGTATTAAAAACTGAAGTCACAAAATCACAAAATACAGATTTGGAAAAACCTGTGACTTCAACAAGCTGCATACAAAACCACTGCTTTTTCTCATTTTCAGATGCTAGCTCATACATATTTTGAAGTTTAATTTTAAACATGACTCAAAATATAAGAAGTTTTTTCTTTTAGAGACTTAGATTTAACTCAAGTTACCTATTCAGAGATCCATGACAGAACGCATGCATTTAATCTTGGAAAAAAACATTTGGGCATTATCTTGTCACTGTATGTGTGTATATATCTCTATATCTATCTATCTATCTATCTATCTACCTATCTATCTATCTATCTACAACCTGCTACATGCCAGCAGACATGGCATTTGCAGGCTGCCTGAGCTCTGCTTACAAGGTCAGTGTAGAATCATAATGCTGGGTCTTCGGAATGCTTTAAATGACAAGCAGTTTTAAAAATCTCCATGTGGTGTCGAAAAAGAGACAGTCCTTGTCTGCTAGGCCTGCACACTAACTTGGATAGTGCATGGTGAGAGTTCAGAAAGGCATTTAATGGAATCACCAAGAAGATCCATAGAATTATCAAGGTTGGAAGAGACCTTAAAGATCACCCAGTCCAGCCATCAACCCAGCACTGGTACCCCTAAACCACTAAACCACATCCCCCAGACACCTCTTGACTAACAGCTCATTAAATTAATACATGCATTAACTCTTTGTGTTCTAACAAAGTTAGAACTGTGGTCTAACCAGTGATGAGTAGGGGGGAATGAAGTAAACACCTTCCTTGACCTGATGTTAGCTAAAGCACCCTGCTGAAGGAGCCCAGGATATCAGCAGACCCTTTGCTTGCAGGCCATATTGCTAGCTCGTGCCCAGCTTAGTGTCCATGAGGACCTACAGGTCCTATGCTGTAAATCTGCCTTCCAGCTGATTGGCCCTGAATATAACAGTGGTGTGTGGTTTATTTTCCCTCACATACAGGACTTCATACTTTCCCTTGGCAAACTCCATGAAGCTCCTGTCAGACCATTTCTCCAGAATGTCAAAGTTCACCTGCCTGGCAGTACAACCCTTTGGTATTACAGCCACCGTCCCACATTTGAATCATCAACAAACTTGCTGAGGGTACACCCTGCCCCATCTTTCAGAATATTAATGAAGATGTTGAACAGAGTTGGATCTAGTACTGACCACTGGAGTACACTGTTAGTTACTGGCCTCTAGTTAGACTTTGTACCACTGACCACCACCCTCTGGGTCATTCAGCCAGTTTTCAATCCACCTCAGTAAGTACTAACAGAAGCTTTTGGCATCTTGTACCAAGCTCAACTCCAGGTAGGCTTTGATTTCCCTAACCAAGTCTCTGCATGTTCAGACTGTCTCCATAACTCCTCTCTTGTACCTGTCCCTTTTTCCACCTTCTGTATGCTTTCATTTATGTTTGAGTTTTGCCAGGAGTTCCTTGCTCAACAACACAGGCCTCTTGAGATCTTTGCCTGACTTCCTGCATTCTGGCATGAACTTGAGTGGAGGTGATCCTTGAATATTTTGCAGGTTTCCTGGACCCCTCTTCCCTCCAGAGCCCTTTATCATGGGACTTTTCCAAGCAGACCTCTGAATAAGTGACAGTCTGCTCTCCTGAAGTCTAGGCCTGTGAACTTGCTTTTTGCCCTGCTCCCTCTTCTCAGGATCTGAACTTCACCACCTCATGGTCACATGTTAAAAGAAAACAATGAAATTCATATTCCCCATGTGAATTTAAAATACTATAAATGCTACAAATACTACCAAGGCTCACTTTGACCATCGCCCCAGTGAGGCCTTCTTCATTTATGTGTTAGAGCTCCAATGAAACACTTCTCATTGACTCTCACTTGTATCAAGAAGTTATCATTAATGCTGCTGGATTGCTTATGTCCTGCAATGTTGTCTCTCCAGAAAATATCAAGGTAGTTGAATTCCCCATTAAGGATCAGGGTCTGTAAACATCAGGCTGCTTCTGGTTGTCTCTACAGGGCCCCATCTTCTTGTTGTTCCAGGTCAGCAAGCCCATAGTAGATGCCTACCAACAAATCACCACTATCGATCTGCTCTTTAATCCTTACCCATAAACTCTCATCATTCAACCTCAGGCACTCCAAGCTCCATGCACTCCAGTTGCTCCCTCCTTGTCTTCCTGGCCAGCCATTCATAAATGGTCTGTATCCCTCCACAGCAGCACTCAGTCCATCCACGGCATCCCTGGGATCCTGACGAGATCCTGCCCCTGCAGCTGCACACAGATCTCCAGTTCCTCATGTTTATGTCCCATGTTGTGTGCCCTGGTGTGCAGGCTCTTCAGAGAGACTTCCTCACTCATATGCAACATTCGAGGTGACCTCAGCTGAGCCCTGTTCATTCACGGTGTGCTCCTCGTGGTTCACTTCACCCCAGCTGCTTTGCTTGGCAGCCTCTGCATCGCTCCCTCAGAGCTGCGCTAACTCCCCCTCCCTCAGGGCTCCTGGTTTAAAGCCCTCTTTACCAGGTCAGCCACACTGCAGCAAAGATATGTGTGCAAAGATACCACTCTGCACCTGATGTCAGGCTGATCTGCCTATTGTAAGACTGACACTGAAGACTTTTTGCTGGAGGAACCTCTACTGTGAACCAGGAGAATCTGCAGAGCTGAGTAACCATATTCATGATTCTATGAATCCCTAAAAAGTGAAGCGATCTCTAAGTGGCTTTTGCTGCTTTATTCCTCCTTCCTATTTGGAAGCAAATCTTTCCATGGAAAACAGACAAGAAGGAGTTAAGGTCTATTCCTATGGAACACATTAAGTTTAGAAATCTAAAAACACATGAAACGTTGAGGATATACATCCATATATGCAATATGTAATTCAGTAAACATGGTAAGAGCTAGCTCAGTATTTAATTATGAGCTGTGGTTAAGGGTTTTTTTCCCTTCCTGATTTGAAATAGAAACAGAAAAAAGGTTAGTAAGCACAGTCAGTGAGATGAAAGGAATAAATAAAAGGAGGAAGTAGAAGACAATGCCATCCCATCACTGCCTATTGTCAACTGACTAATTTTTTGCATAAAGTGTAGTCGCTTTTAGAACCTCCTGTGCCTGAGGTGGAGGACAAGCAGCTGCCCACAACTTTTGCAAATAACATTTTACAAATTGTACCCATTAAAGATAGTTATTTCAATCTTTGCAGAATGAACCATTTACATAATTAAAAAAAATAGCATGATAGTAACAAAAACTTGACTGGCTTTGCCAGTCAAAAAGTACATACACAATGATCTTATACTTCTGCTTTGCTTAGCCAATTGAGTTAGCCTATTTACTCATAGAGTATGTATTTTTTTCAGTCATCTAATGAACAGTGATGACATTTCACATTTGAGGGATATTATCACCTGGACTCAAGCCTTCCTTCAAAAAACTGATGTTCAGAAAAATTATGACAGCAGCAATAGCAATCACTGCAGGGTCTGATAGAAGAAAGAGGAGATGACATCATATCCCTAGCTAGAGACACTGGAAAGAACAAATAAATTTCTAACAGAAACACAGCTACATCTTATTTTGTTTCAGCATTAAGGGTCTAAATGAACATCACCATTCAATTGTATTCTGGGCAAGAGCCCAAACTCATCTTTGCAGCAGTTGATTTTGAAACATTACAGTCAATCACATCTTCTCAATTTGTTCTTGCAGGCTTTCCCTATCCTTCTGGTTTCCATTTCTTGTTTGGAAGCCTTGAGTCATTCACCCTGGCAAGAGGACCAACCTAAATCAGTTATTTTCTCCGAATTATACTGAAATTGGGATCTTGCTTAGCTTGTTGATTTCTTCCTCTGCCTTTCACATAATTTTCCCTTTAAGGATCTAATAAAGCTGATTGAAGGCATAAGCACAATATTCCCTTTCTTTTGTTGCTGTCAAACCCAAGGCATTTACCCACATTGTTTTATAATTGAAACAAAAAAACCTCTTAGGTCCAATTCTGCTTTCATTACCTCTGCATTATCCCAAGCATAAAAAAAAGACCTGGCTTTCATGACCACATCAGTTACATGAAACAAATGCACAATTTTCAGATTTTATGAAATGTTTTATTTAAACAAAGAGAAGGAATTTTGAAGACCTGATTTGTAAAAAGGTGGGTGTTGTTCAAAAAGAAGAAGCAAGTATTTCTAAATATAATTAACTTTGCTTAAAATTTTATTTATATCAGGAAAAAGGTACCTTTCATTTTCATGCTACGTAGCATGTTGTGAATTTTCTACTAATAGAAAATAAATGATTGGACACTGGGCAATACTTTAACATAACTGTAATATAACTTTGTGTTGACTTAGCTGGATTTTTAAAAGATTTTAAATTCCCAGAAGTTGTAGAAAAACAAGCAAGTGCTTAGTGAAGGCCGGCGCAAATTAGTACCTACCACTGAGAATAAGGGACTTATATTTAGCCATTTATTTTGAGAGCTGCAAGCCACTAACCAGTTCACACATCTAGTCCACCCTCAATCCCAGCATTTACAACTATTTCCCCAGCTGAGGAGGTATGCTATAGGGAAGGCTGAGTGTCATTCTGGGACAACTGGCACAGACTTCAGCATCTTGAAAAGATATTAAAGGTTGGACACATTCACAGAAAATCAGGCTTG